ATATTATATATAATATTATATATATTATATATATTATTATATATATAATATATAATATAATATATACATATATAATATATATATTATAATATATTATAAATAAATAAATATATATATATATATAAATATACATAATCCAAGTCAGTCCTTTGGGGGGTGTGGGGTGCCTAACTGGAACATGTAGCTCGTCATATTTCAGGCACAATATCCCTGTGCTGCACACACTCCAATCAAGGCAGCTCTCCCACAAAGGTGCACTTCTATCCACGAGTCCAAACAAGGGAGATGTTTCCCATTATTAGTCACTATCACTGCATAACTAGCACACAGGTCAAGAAACAGGACACTACCAGCACCCCAGAACTGCCCCCTCCCCCCACCAAGGAAACTGCTATTCTGCCTTGTAAGTGTAATCCAGTTTTGTCTGATTTTGAACTTTATCTAGATGGAATCGTACAGTAAGTACTCTTTTATCTGTCTGTTGTCTTCTGTTGAATGTTATGTGTGTGAGATTCCTCCATGTTGTGTGTCAGTGGAGTTTGTTCATTCTCATTACAGTGCTCCACGGTGTGTATACAGCACAATCCCTTGATCCATTCTACTGCTGATGAATATTTGGGTTCGATTTTGCCTATCAGAATAGTGCTGCTGTGAGAATTCTTCCACCTATTTTTGCTGGCAGTGGAACTGCTGGATCATAAGCATATGTTTAATTTTAGTAGTTAGATATTGCTAAACAGTTTTCCAGAGTGGTTATACCAACTTACAGCTCCAGCAGCAGCGAACGAGAGGTTCAACTGCTCTATATTCTTACCAACACTTGGTACTGGTATTGTGTGTGGTTTTTTCATTTTGGCCACTCTGGTGAATTTTCTAAATGTTGTTTGGTGGTGATGATTTTCTATAAAGCCTAAAAGGAAACATGTCAGGAAACTTACCCCAGCTGTTTTCCTTGCAAATCTTAGTTGTCCAGGATAACATCTGCACAAACTAGAGATCATTCAGATATTACAGAAACATGCCAAAAGACAGACCTAGGTGTTGCCAGACTAAAAGAGCCCTAGACCTTTCCAAGTCTAAGCAAATCACCTGCTAAAACACGTGCCTGGATCTAAAGTGGTAGTAATCTACTAAAAATAGCATAAAAATAAGTCCAAAGTTATGAGAAGACTTCTTGATACTTTTCTCAAATATAGCATATGACTCAATTCTCAATGCCCTCATTAAGGGCCAAAGGTCCTGGGGTCTGGGCTCTTACCCTTTGAGCGTCCTCTGCCCCTCCCACCACCGTCCAGGGCTAAAGTACCCTTTTTCCTCTTCCCATGCCCCACATTCTCTGCATTTGAGACATCTTTAAGGATAGTAAGCTAACAGAGGTGCAGGAGAGTAAGATCCTGGCCATAGTGATAGTTGAATTAGCTATTAGGAGCCAAGAGGCCACAGGAGGTTAAAAGAGAGAAGGGATAAAAAAAAAAAAAAAAAAGAAGAAGAAGAAAGAAAAAGAAAAGAGTTCAGGGAAGCTTAAGGTCTTGGGATAGTAGGTCCTATGTTGCCAGATACACACTCAGCTTTCTGCTTCAGCAGTTGTTTGGGATAGGCTTTCAGCCACAAAGGCACTGAAATGCAGTGATACTTAAGAGTAAAACAATGATTAAGAATCTAGTTTTTGGGGCTTCCCTGGTGGCACAGTGGTTGAGAGTCCGCCTGCCGATGCAGGGGACGCGGGTTTGTGCCCCGGTCCGGGAAGATCCCACGTGCCGCGGAGCGGCTGGGCCCGTGAGCCATGGCCGCTGAGCCTGCGCGTCCGGAGCCTGTGCTCCGCAACGGGAGAGGCCACAATAGTGAGAGGCCCGCGTATCGCAAAAAAAAAAAAAGAATCTAGTTTTTGATCTGTTGGGGAAAAAGATCAATTTAGAGGCTAACTGAAAGTTCTCTGCGAACTGATATAAAAAGTTTCCAGAATACAGTGATTACTGTAGAATACTGATTTCCAGAATACAGTATTAAATGAAACAAATAAATAAAGCAGGATGCTGAACAAGCTTTTGTGTGAAGAGGGTAGGGTCAGGAATAAGAATCTATATTCATATTGCTGTATAGGAATAAAAAACTCTTTACATAAGAAACTAAAAGAAGATTATTTACTTATCGGGGGAAAAGAAGAACTGAACAGATGGAGGACATGAATAGAAGGGAGACCATTTCCTGTAAATCTTTTTATAATTTCTGGTTTTCAAATCATAGAACTTTATTACCCATTCAAAATTAAACTAAAAAAATTTAAACAGACTACCTGAAGTTACGAGGGGGTACGTGATGAAAATTAAATTTAAAAAGTTCCTGTTTATATTAGCCTTTCCAAATCTATTTATTTTCCCTCAGATGTCACCATGTTCCAATTCTCTGTCCATGTTTCCTTCCTAATCCTGGGTTCCTTGCAGCAAAAGTAGCAATATGAAAGAATGAAGCTGAAAGTAAAGTGCACATGCGTTGTTTGGATCTAGGATGACATAAGTAACAAAAGGGATTTTCTTTGGGCTACCTGGAACTAGGACAACAGGAAAATCAAGTCTGCTTTCCAGTGCTCAAACACCATAACACACAGGGCTGGTCTGGCTAGCGCTTCCTAAAGCAAGGCCTTACACAAGGAGGCTTGCATCTCAGCACTCCAACTTGTCTCCTCACAGATCAGGAAAGAGGTGTGGTAGAACCACACAGCCCTAGGCTCTCAAGGACTCTCTTTATCATCCTCTAGGGAAATCACTCCTGAATGGAACAGACCCACAAAATGTGGCACTTCTCTTATTCTGTATGTGTGAATGCTCATGTGGGTACATACATTCTTCGTGTATGTGTGCAGACCCATACACATATACCTAAAACGTATCTGGGCAGAACTGATTCTGTTTTAGGACTATGATCATGCTTTCTGACTTATCACCTTTTGTTGAATCTCTCCCAAACTCAGTACCAGCTAACCTTGATGACAAAGTTAACTGCTGAATGTCAGCTACCTTCTTGATAATTAACATACTTTCATTTTAGAAAAGAAGAGAAAACACCAAGAGTGGGGAAAAACCCACATTAAGAAGGCTGAACTCCACAGATAAACAAGATTTTTTCTGTAGTGCTTACTGTTTACCCTTGACAGTGGCCAAACCAACAAAAGCAGTAATTATAACATGGTAGAAACACTATGTTGCGAAAGGTACATCTTATACATCTTATATTAATTCAGAAGCATAACTGAATATATTATTTTAAATAAGCCAGATTTCAAGCAGACATTTAGATATATACTTTAGGACGTAATACTCCCTGCCTTCTGAGGGATGCTAAGTGGGAGTGAATGAGTGGTACTCATACCTGAGTGGAGGAGGGCTCCAGCAGCTTGGACAAGTTGGAGAGAACAGTGACGAGTAGGAGGGCTTCTTTGCTGTTAAAGTCTTCTTCTTGGCTGCTAAGTATATTCAACAAGGATCTCTGAGAAAGGAAAAGTATACACAGAAACATATTACTAACAGGGAGAAGAGACATCTACCTGGAGATTCCTAAGGCTGGGACAGAAAGGATTCAAAAACACCAAAAATCTGGGGCTTCCCTGGTGGCGCAGTGCTTGAGAGTCCGCCTGCCGATGCAGGGGATACGGGTTTGTGCCCTGGTCCAGGAAGATCCCACATGCCGCGGAGCTGCTGGGCCCGTGAGCCATGGCCGCTGAGCCTGTGCGTCCGGAGCCTGTGCTCCGCAAGGGGAGAGGCCACAACAGTGAGAGGCCCGCATACCGCAAAAACACCAAAAATCCAAGAGGATAAAAGCTGAAAATAAACCTGGATTGAATAGGTGGTTTCTTACCCTGTTTCTGATTCTAAGTGTTCTCTTGAGAACTATGGACTCCTTCTCCAACCCCCTGCCAAATGTACATCAGGAATGAATTGTGCACCCAGTTTTTTTTTCTCTTTGTTTTGGCCGTGCCACACAGCTTGCGGGATCTTAGTTCTTTAACCAGGGATTGAACCCGGGCCCATGGCAGTGAAAGCACTGAGTCCTATCCATTGCACCGCCAGGGAATTCCCGTGCACCCAGTTTTGGGTGGCTCGCAACTCCCTGAAGCCCATCCACTGACCTCAGGGCTAGACCACGCCCCAGTGCTGGTATTCCCTATACACCTTCCCTGTTTCTCTCTCACCACCTGAAACACTGTATTTTGTCTGTTAGTCTCTTCCCACTACAATGTAAGCTCTGTGAAGGTAGGGTTTTGTCTCTTTTATCCCTTGCTATATCGTCAGCACCTGGAACAGTCCCTGGCATATAATAGGAACTTTAAAATTATGTATTAAAGAAATCTTCTGTGATAAAAGATCCTGATATTGTGACAACTAGTGGTTAGAAACTAATAGGAGAGACTTCCCTGGTGGCGCAGTGGTTAGGAGTCCACCTGCCAATGCAGAGGACACGGGTTCGAGCCCTGGTCCAGGAAGATCCCACATGCTGCGGAGCAACTAGGCCCGTGAGCCACAACTACTGAGCCTGCTCTAGAGCCTGCGAGCCACAACTACTGAAGCCCGCGCACCTAGAGCCCATACTCCGTAGCAAAGAGAAGCCACCACAATGAGAGGCCCGTGCACCATGACGAAAAGTAGCCCCCATGCTCTGCAACTAGAGAAAGCCCGTGGGCAGCAAAGAAGACCCAACGCAGCCGTAAATAAATAAATTTAAAAAAGAAACTAATAGGCTTCACTGTCCAGTCTTTATGCAATCTGACGGACAATGCCAAATTACATTTGCATGTATTAATGGGCTCCTGGCTATCTCTCTGCATCAGCTCAAACGGTGATTCTTAGAGGCAATGACTCCTGCAGGTTGGGGTGGCTTAAATACACATCCTTCCTAGAATCCTTTTAAATGCATTCTCTCTCATTCTAAGAGCTCTGTCTTGTTGCTTGAATGATGACCCAGAAGAAACTCCTGTTCTACTTGCTCACTGTCTGCCCATTCTCACCAGCTGGCCCTGCTAACAGTCCCTTTCCAAGGACCCTCACAAAGTACTGCAGTTTCCCAGGCTTCTCACCTGAAACTGCCGGATCTGGAATGCTGCTCTTTGAGTGACACTGACTTCCACCTCTTCCTCCTTATCTGTGGCATCTAGGAAAGGAAAAGAACTCTATCTTCTTTGAAATGGGCTTGGGCTTTTTTTTTGCCTTTTCATACTAAAATTTTAGGAAGCCAAAAAAGTCTGGAGGCAGATTTGATTATATTCCTAACATTCTGCAATTTCTTAATACTATATTCCATTTTCCAGTCACTGGATAAATGTAATCCAGTAAGTGTCAATTCTGAATCCACTAGATGTCACTCCTTACCAACATTAGGACTTCTCAGGTGTCCTCTGGTAGGTTAACAACTAGAATTAAGAGGTTTGGTTAAGAAAGACAAACTCAGAGCCAATCTATCAAAATTGAAATGCCCACCCAGAGCCCTGAGAAACTGATGAATCTTGGGCTGGTAGAACTGTTGCACAACACTGAATATTTTCTGCAAACCCTCCAAGCACAGCAGTGAGATGCTCTTTCCTTTCTCTTTCTTTCCCGACTCTTCCACTGAAGTAGGAATTGAAGTGTATCTCCAAAGCAAGACCCTGGGGAAAAGTGATTTTATTTTCAAAGTCAGGTTCACTAAGCTACAATTTACATACAGTAAAATTCCCATCCTATAGATGTATAGTTCTATGAATTTTGACTAACTTACACAGTTGTGTACTCAGCCCCACAATCAAGATATTTCCATTACCCCAAAAGTTCCCACGTGCTCCTCTGTAATCAATTATTTCTCCTCGATTTTGCAAGCAACCACTGGTCTGTTTCCTGTCCCAGTGGCTTTACTATTTACAAACTATCATATAAAAATGGTATCATTCATTATGCAGCCTTCAGAATCTGGCTTTGCTAACAGCATATGCTTTTGAGATTCACCTATGTTGCTGCATGTATTGGTAATTTGTCCCATTTTATTGCTGAGTAGTACTCCAGGGTATGGATGTACCACAGCTTGTCCATTCACCAATTTATCCATCCGTCTATTGACAGACTTCTGGGTTGTTTCCAGATTTTGCTGTTACAGATAAAGCTGCCATATACAAACCTTTGTATCAACATCTACTTTCGTTTCTTTTGGGTAAATACCTAAGAGTGGGGTGGGAATATCATATGGTAGGTGTGTGCTTAACTTCTTAAGAAACTGCCAAACTATTTTCCAAAGTGGTTGCACCATTTACATTTCTGTCAACAGTGTGTAAGAGTTCAAATTCTTCCACATCCGTGACAACACTCTAGTATGGTCAATCTAAACTTTTAGGCATTCTAATAGGTGTTTACTGATATCTCATTGTGATTTTAATTTGCATTTACCTAGTGTTTAATTATGTTGACCATCCTTTTGGGTTCTTATTTGCCATCTATACATCTTCTTTGGTAAAGTGTTCAAGTATTTTACCCATTTTGCAATTTGACTGTTTTCTTAACAAGTTTAAGAGTTCTTTATATACTCTGGTTACCAGTCCATCATCAGACATGTGTTTTGCAAATATTTTCTCATCTGTGGCTTGTCTTTTCATTTCCTTAAGAGTGTTTTTCAAAGAACAGAGTTAAATTTTTAAAAAATATCAACTGTGCTTCTGGTATTTCATCTAAGAAATTTTTACCTAAAACAAGGTTGCAAAGCCTTTTCTGTCTTCTAGATGTTTTACAATATTTGGTTTTACATTTATGTCTCCGATCCATTTCAAGTCAACTTTTTGTATATAACATGAGAAATGGATAAAAGATTCATTTTTTCACATATTCATGTCCAACTGTTCCAAAACTACATGTTGAAAAGACTTTTCTCCATTGTCAAAAGTCAAGACCATGCTTGTGTAGATCAATTCTGAACCATCTATTTCTGTTCCATTGATTCTAGCAATACCACACTACCTTAAACACAACAACTTTATAGTAAGACTTGAAATCACATAGTGGGAGTCCTCTAACTTTGTTGTTTTATTTCACATTTGTTTTAGTTACTTTAGGTCCTTTACTTTTCCATATAAGTTTTAGAATAATCTTGTCAATTCCTACAATAAAGCTTGATAGGATTTTGATTGGTATTGTGTTGAATCTATGGATTAATTTGGGAATAATTCACACCTTGACACACTGAATCTTCCAATCCCTGGACACTGTATGTCTTTCCATTTACTTGGGACTTCTTTGATTTCTTTCATTAATGTTTTATAGTTTTCATCACATCAATCTTGCATGTTTTTGAGATTTATCACTAAGTAGTTTTCATTTTGTGACACTATAGTAAATGGTAGTTTTTAAAATTTCAATTTCCAGTTGTTCACCACTAGTATGTACCTAAAAATACAGTTTTCGAAAAAACTGACCTTGAATCCTGCAATCTTATTAAACTTATTTAATAGATCTAGTGGCTTTAAAAATAAATCTTTGGAAATTTTTATGTAGACAATTATGTCTATAAAGACAGTGTTATTCTTTCTTTTTCAATCTTTTGTCTTTTATTTCTTTTTCCTGTCTTACTGCACTGACTAGGACCACCTCCAGTATGATTTTGAATAGTAGTGGTGAAAGCACAAGGGGGAAAGCACTGAGTCTTTCTTCATTAAGTATGCTGTTAACTATAGGGTTTTTGTGGATATCCTTTATTAGATTGAGAAAATTCTCTTTCATTCCTGGTTTGCCAAGAGATTTTTTTTAGATGTTGGGAGTAGGAGTTGATTAATTAATTAATTTATTTTTGCTGTGTTGAGTCTTCGTTTCTGTGCAAGGGCTTTCTCTAGTTGTGGCAAGCAGGGGCCACTCTTCATCGCGGTGCGTGGGCCTCTCACTATCACGGCCTCTCTTGTGGAGCACAGGCTCCAGACGCGCAGGCTCAGTAGTTGTGGCTCACGGGCCTAGTTGCTCTGCGGCATGTGGGATCCTCCCAGACCAGGGCTCGAACCCGTGTCCCCTGCATTAGCAGGCAGATTCTCAACCACTGTGCCACCAGGGAAGCCCTTGCCAAGAGATTTTATCATGGTTTATGTTGAGTTCTGATTGCCTGCATCTACTGGGATGAACATATGGTTTTTTCTTTAGTCTGTTGACATGGTGAATTACACTGATTGATTTACAAATTTTGAGCCAACGTTGCATCCTGGGAAAAATTCCACTTAAATGATAAGTTATTCTTCTTATAAACTGTTGGGATGAATTTGCTAATTTTTTTACATCTATATGCATGAGAGAATTTGGTCTGTACTTTTCTTATTAATGTCTTTGGCTGGATTTGGTATCAGGGTAATTTACACTGGCCTTATGAGTTGGGACATGTTCCCTCCTCCATTTTCTGGAAGAGTCTGCATAAATTGGTGTTATTTCCTAAAATGTTTGGTAGAATTCAACGGTGGAGACATGCAGGTCTGTAGTTTTTGTTGAGGGAAAATTTTGAACCACAAATGCAATTTCTTTAATAGAGATAGGATTACTCAGGTTACCTATTTTTTCTTGAGTGAGGTTTAAAGAAATTTGTGCGTTTAAGTTATGAAGTTTATTGACATAAAGTTAACATTCTGTTATGAATTTTTAATATGTGTAGAATCAGTAGTGATGTCTCCTCTTCCTCATATACCTGGTATTTGTAATTTGTGTCTTCTTTTCCTGGTCAGTCTGGCTAAAGTTTATTGAATTTATTGATCTCAACTAGATTTTGGTCTCATTTTCTCTATTGTTTTTGCTTTCTTTTTAAAAAAATATATATTTATTTGGCTGCATTGGGTCTTAGTTACGGCACGCAGGATCTTTGTTGCAGCATGTGGAATCTTTCATTGCGGCACATGGGCTTCTCTCTAGTTGTGGTGCGTGGGCTCAGTAGTTACAGCACAGGCTTAGTTGTTCTGAGGCATGTGGGATCTTAGTTCCCCAACCAGGGATCAAACCTGCATTCCCCTGCATTGGAAGGCGGATTCTTAACCACTGGACAACTAGGGAAGGCCCCTGTTTTTATTTTCAATGATTCTACTTTTGTCTTTATTACTTCCTTCCTTTTGCTCACTTTCATTTTAACCTGCTCTTCTATTTTCTTAATGTAAAAGCCTACATTAGAGATTTCAGATTTCTTTCTAATATAAACACTGATTGTTCTAAATTTCTACCTAGACACTGCTTTAGCTGGACCATACAAAATTTGGCACGCTCAAATGTTCATCTTCATTCTATTAAGATATTTTAAAATTTCTGACTTTCTCTTTGACTATGAGTTATTTAGAAATGCATTTAATTTCCAAATATACGGGGATTATCCGCATATTTTTGTTACTGCTTTCTTGTTTAATTCTGTTGTGGTCAGAGAACACGCTGATTTCTATTTTAAAAATTTGTTAAGTTTGTTTTATGGCCCAAAATATTGGTCCATCTTGATGAATGTACCATATGCACATGAAAGGAACGTGTATTTTGAAACTTATTTAATGTTCTATAAATGTCAATTAAATCAAGCTGGATGATAGTGTTGTTCAAGTCTTCCACGTCCTCCCTGATTTTCTATCTATTTCTACTGATTACCAAGAGAGGTAGATAATTATTTGTGTATTTCTCCTTCAGTTCTATCCATTTTTGCTTCAAGTATTTCAAAGCTCTGTTGTTAGGTACATATACATTTAAAATTGTTACGTCTATTTGATAAATTATTTAGTCATTATGTAATATCCCTCTTTACTTCCTGGTAATAGAAAAACGTTTTATATGTGACTAACGATCCACACCAAAATATGACTAGGAAAAAGAACCCAATATAGTGACTGCACTTTCACCTTTAGGGCAATGCCCAACCTCAAACCCACCTTCAGCCCCACCCCCAATTTCTTCTCTTGGAGACTCCACAGCAAGTGGAAACAGTTTCTAAGGGTGAGTGGGGCTTACCGAGTTATGTCACAGAGGTTCTGAAAGACCTTCTCTGGGTTTTTGCCATCAGGGCCACTCACATGCCCCATTTCCTTTAGCTGCTGTACCTTCTGCAGAGCCACACTCACTGCATAGCGCATAAACTCATTGCTGGACCTTAGAACAGACAGGCTCTCTTCATGACTTTGGGTACTGTCCCTAGAGAGAGAAAAAGAGAAAGATTCCTCTACAGCTATTGGGACCTGGAATTAGGTTTTCTAGAGACTGTTCAGGGTAATAGTACAGAGCAAGCTCTAAATGACAGACTCTAAGCAGCCCATGCCAGAGTCACTGCCATGGCTGTCCTACAAATATCATTCTCAGTGTTACCTCACTTTCTCCCCCTCCCCCACTCCTTTAACTCTGATGAAATTTAAATGTCTTAGTTTTCTTTAGTGGTTTTTTGTTGTTGTTGTTCCTTTGTTTTTTGGGGTTTTTTTTGTGGTACGTGGGCCTCTCACTGTTGTGGCCTCTCCCGTTGCAGAGCACAGGCTCCAGACGCGCAGGCTCAGCGGCCATGGCTCACGGGCCCAGCCACTCCGTGGCATGTGGGATCCTCCCGGACTGGGGCATGAACCCATGTCCCCTGCATCGGCAGGCAGACTCTCAACCACTGCGCCACCAGGGAAGCCCCTTTGTTTTTTTGAATTCAGGTTTTTCTCTGGAAGCCCCTTTGTTTTTTTGAATTCAGGTTTTTCTTTCTTCTTTTTTTATCTGTTAGCGTGTGTGAGCTACTCAGGTTGATTTTCTTAGAACACATTGTTGGAATTCATCCTATTTTTTCATTCACTAGTCCATGTTTCTGATTTTTCCTTTAATAATTCAAAGTATCTCTTTAATGACGAGGCAGGATTGTTCTGCCTTCATTTCAAGAAAATTACAAACCTCCTACCTTACTTCTTACTGTATATGTGCTAAGAATTGTGTGAATCCAAGCTAGGTAATATCAGTGAGCCTGGGTAGGTATTTTTATCTTCACCACACTGCTGTCTTTAAGCACTCTGTTAGAAACTTACCTGAAAAGAGCGGTGAGAAGATCAGACACAAATTTCATGGACAAAAAACTATCATTTGTTTTGCTGGCCATTTTAGTTTTGCCTTTACCAGCTTTTTCATTAAGGATGTCAGAGAGTTCCTTGTAACACATAAATAAGCTCAGAACCTCCTCAAACTTATTCTTACTGTGTAAAAAAGAAAAAGAGACCACCAAGGACAAGCATCAGAATATTGTGGTTTATTTTCACAAACAGTAATAAAGAAATCACAATGCTTCTTTAGATGTCATATTTTAGACCCAATATTACAAATGAATGGATCTTCATTAACATAGCACTCCCAGGTCATACCAATCTGGGTTATTTCTTTTCTTCCCTTATTTATACCAGTCACTGCAGAGAATGAAAGTTCAATACTACCACCAATCAAAATTTCTCTGTTAAAATCAGGAGTTCTTATGTTCAGGGTCTGGGGAATTTTGAATACATTAAAGCCTGCTGGAGGGACAAAATTCACCAGCCTCTTTGGCATATGCTTTGGTGTTCCCTGGTAGAAAGAACATAGATTGGTCTTAGGCTACATATCCATTAATAGATAGTGTATGGTCTGTGGTCTGCTCATACCTAGCATATTGTTAGTGTTAAAAAAAAAACAAAAACGCACACACACACATAAAATGAACTACAAGTAGAGTCACAGCAATACCTTACCTGAAATTACTTACGGAGAAATTATATTCTATTAGAACCTCACAAACTCCCATAACAAGAAAAGCACAGATATTGTTTTTGATGCCAATACCAGTGCTCTGAGAAAAATCTGCTGATTTGTCCTAAAAAACAGAAGATAAAATTAATAAGCTACTAAAAACCTCCATTATTCAACACAGCTGAGACTTAGCAATTACCAGTTCAAAGTCCTCTAGTTCACTCTTAATCATTCTACGAGTAATAGACTCCAACATATCATCTAAGTCTTGGTAGAATCCCTCTTCTTCCTCCTCCTCTTCTTTCTGCTGTAGGGGCATCACTCTACTCTTATACCAGGCCAAACAGTGTTGAATACAACAAAGCAGACAATCCTGCAGAAGAAAATAATAATTGAATATTCTTGTTAAAGGATAACCTATGAAGCTGTTGATAATCAACAAATAATCCTTATCTATAAGGCTAAAGTAAGTTATTCATTAGCATCACAAGTTAAGTCAATGTGGATTAACAAAACTGGAAAAAAAATAATTGAACTAACAGAGGCATTGTTTTCTGGCCTTTCCCAAAGGCACTGGCTTCATAAGTAGCTGACACCTAAGAATGCAACATCAGATGTGCTGCCTCTGATTTGGTACGAACACCATGGAGCCAGGCTGTGAAATTAAATCCTCTCTAGCTCCTTTGAGTCACAGAGGCTATTCTAAAGATAGGGGTTTATGTGGAGGGAATCTTTGGGAGACCAATCTTTAGCATCTCTGATCCAGGCTGAGGACATCTGTTATAAGTCACTTGGGATGAGACAGTTTCAGTTTTTATCTTTTCTTCTCTTTCTGAGGCTAGACAACTAGAATAGAAAACCAACCTGCCCTAGTTCCTCTGAAGGTTCGACAGAATGCCAATTCTAGCTCAGCCTAAATCATATACCCCAGACTAATGAAGCAGGTCCCCTGGGTTCATCTGCTTCTGGGTGACCTCCTTCTCTCCATTCTAAAGTATATTTATTTAGTATATGTAATCAAGGAGCCATAAACGGGAGATAAAATGCTCCTTGGGAGAAACAATGGATGCCTTGATTTAGTAAAGTGCTGACATGCAGATATCTTACCAAGAAAACCAAGGTGAAGATGGGTCAGAAAAGATAAGCAGTTAAGAGTAAAAATTCATTGGGAGTACCAGGAAGAGCGCTTCACAGGGGAAGGTATCTGTTTCTGAAGATCAACCATATCAACAGGGCTGATAGTTTTACTTAAGAGTAAAAATAATGGTTCTGGGAGGAGGGAAAAAAGTCTCACCAGTGGTTCCTGTAGAGAGATCTGATCTCCTTGGGTCAGAATACAAGCTTCTAATTTCAGAGGTGGCAGCATATCAGGTTCCGGCTCATAGAATTGTTTTAACTGTGTATGGTAAGGAAAAAGATACCATGGCTCATGAATGTTTTTCACTTTTTTAGCGGGTCAAGCTAATGGCACCTTTAATGCTTTCTAAGACATTATTTCCCAACTGTCCAAAGAACACTGCAGCAAAATTTGTGTTGCTTTGACTCAACCATATCCTTTGCCCTTGCTTTAGGTACTGTACCAACTGAGATCTTCTTTCCTATTTCCACTTCATAACCTCTCCTATAAAACATCATACTCTCTCACACCAATTCCTAAATTTGTATAGGCAATCAGCATTTTCAGTATAGCTTGAAGGTTAAGAATATATAGAGTCAGGCTGGCTGAGTCTAAAATCCCAGTACCACCACTTATTAATTCAATAAAGGTATCCATGCCTTGGTTCCTCATCTGTGAAATGAGGATATTTATTAATATAAATGTATAAATTCGTATAAGGATTAAACATGCTAACACATGTAAGGAGCTTCAAATACTACTTGGCACATAACAGAGCTCAAAAAACTGTTAGTTAACTCAGCCATAAAAAAGAATGAAACAATGCCATTTACAGCAACAAAGATGGACCCAGAGATTATACTAAGTCAGACTGAGAAAGACAAATACTATATGATATCACTTACATATGGAATCTAAAATACAAGACAAATGAACTTACTTACAAAACAAACAGACTCACAGACACAGAAAACAAACTTATGGCTACCAAAGGGAAAAGAGGCAGTATAAATTACGACTTTGGGATTAGCAAATACCAACTACTGTATATAAGATACATAAACAACAAGATCCTACAGTATAGCACAGGGAACTATACTGAACATCCTGTAATAAATCACAATGGAAAAGAATATGAAAAAGAATATATATATAACTGAATCACTTTGCTGTACACCAGAAACTAATACAACATTGTAAATCAACTATACTTCCATTAAAAAAACAGTTATCATTTTTCTCTTTTTTAACTTTTGGAGTCTGTAGAACTTTACAGGTCCACATACTAACCTAAGTTGGGAAGCACTGGTCTATGCCTTCAGTCATAATTTGCGATGTTAAATGGGCAAATGTAGATGGACTGATCATTACAGTTTGATAGATACAATATACCAGGATACAAATTTTATACAGGATCAGGTCCAAGGCCCACTGAAAAGCTTTCGATGAATAGTATAGGACCTCCCAATAATTTCTCCATATCTGAGACCGTACTTTCAAATGGAGCTTCGTTAGCAGGATTATCACAAAGCAATGGCATAAAAAGGACGGAGAGGGAGAGGGAGAGAAAGAGCAGTTCCATTTATAGCAAAATGGTGGACTAGGGTTTAGAGAAATCCTCATGGTAAAGAACAGTAAATAATATTGCATTAAAAATTTTATATAGACATATTTATTAAATAGATAGCTAAGAGGAAAGGAAAAGGAAAGTAAAAAGGAATCATGAAATTAAAGACAAAGCCTAGGGCCCTCATGGGGTGGAGGTTGGATCAGAAACCTTCACATAAAGCTCCAATTCTCAGGAGATATTCTTAGTGGATAAACCTAAAAAATAAATCCACCATATGGAGGAGAATGGTAGAGGGATATGTATCTGCTTAACTGACCCCTGACTTTAGGTGAAGGGGGAAAAATGTCTCTCCTGGGGCTTTCTAACCACAAGCCAGTCTCCAAACGTAGATGGGGTAGAATTCACACTATCTGTGTAGTCCGAAAAATCAAAAGCCAAAAATCCAGCTGAAAGTTTAAAGAAAGATAACATATAACTTTGAAAAAAGTTAAGGGAAAAAATGAAAAAAAGGAAATAGAGACAATTTCAAATTTTACATAAACTAGACAAAGAGGGAACATCCCTAATCATTTTTATTAATAAGCTCATACTAAACCAAGGAAGTTCAGTACGAGAAATGAAAATTACAGGCCATTCCCTCTTATAAACATATATGTAAAAGTCTTAAATGAATACCAAACCCAGTAGTGTATAAAAAAGGTAATATATCATCATCAATTTGAGTTCATCCCAGGAATGCAATTTTTTTTTTTTTTTTTTTTGGCCGTGCCACACGGCAGGCAGGATCTTAGCTCCCTGATGACCAGGGATGGAATCCACGCCCCCTGCAGTTGGAAGTGCGGAGTCTTAACCACTGGACTGCCAGGGAAGTCCCCCCACCATGTTGCTTTAAAAGATTAAATAATATAATTCATCACAGTAATAGCTTAAAGGAGTAAAATCATAACGGTCATCTCAATAGATACAAAAATGTATTTGATAAAATTCAACATACATTCAAGAGTAAAACAACAGATCTGAAATGGCAGAGGAGAAAGTAAACTTGAAGACAGATTACGAGAAAATATCAAATCTGAAGAAAATAGTGTAAAAATATTGAGGAAAAATGAGACAAGTCTCAGAGATGTGTGGAATAATATCAGGCATTCCAACATACATACCAATGAAGTCACAGAAGGAAAGGAGAGAAAAAGGGGATAGAAAAAAAATATTTGATGAAATAATCAGTGGACATTTCTCAAATTTGGTGACAAGCATCAACTTAGAGATCCAAAAAGCTTAATCAACTCCAAATAGGAGAATAACATGCTTGGACTCTTGAGCTAGACGATCTGAGTTCAAATCCCAGCTCTGCCACTAATTAACTGTGTGACCTTGGGCAAATTAAATTACTTAATCTCTCAGACCCTTAAAATATAAATCTGTAAAATGGAGATAACAGTTTTTATTTCACAGGGTTTTGTGAGGACTAAATGAGATCATCCACCATATAATGCTTCATAAACTGCTTGGCCTTCTATAAGTGCTAAACGTTAGGTACTGTTGTTATTACTATTAGTACATAACAGTATCTTGAACTCTCTCAATATATAAAAAGATTCATGTAATGAAATATTATTTAGCCATAAAAAGGAATGAAGCACTGATACATGCTACAACATGGATGACCCCTGAAAACATCAGGTTAAGTGAAAGAAGTCAGTCACAAAAGACCACACACTGTATGATTCCATTTACATGAAATGTCCAGAATAGGCAAATCTATAGAGACAGAAAGAAGATAAGTGATTGCTTAGGGGTAGGAGGTTGGGGGAAGGATGGGAGAATTAGAGGGTGGTAGCTAAATGGCGTAGGGTTTCTTTTCCTGAGGTGATAAAATGTTCTCAAATTGATTATGGTGATGGTTGCACAACTCTGCAAATATATGAGTTATATTTTTTTAAATGGGTGAATTGCATGGTACGTGAATTATATCACCACAAAACTGCTATTAAACTGTTATTAAAAAAACATTCAAATAAATTCTTAATGAATAAACGTTGAGTAAAAGGTCTTATTTACAGCAGATATTCTCCAGTTGAATTCTTCTCATCTTGATAATCCTCTGAAATATTTCATAATTTAAAGCTTTTTTTAAAACTGAGAAATACAGAAAATAACCTAATAGACACTCATTAATATGTCACTCAGATTTAACAAATGTCAATATTGTGCTATATTTTCTCCAAATCTCTCTTTGTCTTCTTTCAGAAATAAACATAACAAGTAAAGCTGCTGATGGCCTCTGTACAAATGGTTCTTCAGAACGTCCTTCTAACTTAGGATGCAGACTGTTAACTGAGAGGGATAACTGTCAGATAATGGCAATAAGTGGTGATTTAAATAAAATAACATGAAATAGCATCACATACCTCAGGCATGGTCACAATGCACCACTGCACTAGTTGGGAACTATTTCATATTTTGAAAATTATGAAGAATGTCAATCGCCTCTTAATTGCCTTAGTATCTGTTCCCTTATATCCATAAAATACATTTTACCTGTGAGAGCAGAGTTTGCATGATTGAATTAGCCAGCTGAGAATTTCTTCGAAGGACATCATAGAACCCCTAAAAGGAATCAAACAGAGGACAAATAAGCTCTTTGATGAATAAATGAACAACAATATCCTAACAGATTTAGGTCTATGATCCATTACAAGGTAATTTTTTTTTTTTTTCCAGCATCTGTAAACTACATTTATTGAGTGCTTACTGGGCACATCAGATACAAAAGAGTTGGGACTGGGGCAGGTAAGAACTTAAGAAATTAAATATACACATTAATTTTACCACGAATTTAACTACTAGGGAAGTACAAAATTTGTACAAGTTATACTTTATAATGAAATTTTGATGTCTGTCAAAAGGATAAGTTATACATACAATGCAGTAAAAATGTTTTAAAACTGTGCTTAGTATCACAGAACTACCCCGAAATGGGTTGATAAAATGCCTATACAGCATTATACAGATATATTTCACATTAAAGATTGCTTGTAAAGTACAAATACTTTGACCCCATTGCTGAGAAATCTATGGCTGACAACTATATGTGCAGTTCCTCTAAGAAACATCGCAGTATTTGTAGTCCATCTCTCCTTTAAACTCCACCTTATTTTTAGTTTCACTTACAAGTTCTCTTCAGAACCGTTTATATTTCTTTTGTCTGATCATCTTCTTTGAGTTTCCTGATTTCATTTTTTAAACAATTTATAGTTTCACGACTTGCTTTTAATCTCTCTTTAAGCTCTGCAATTTCAAAGTTTGTTTTTTTCCCCACAGCTTCTAATTTTTCTCTGGTTTTCACTTTAAGTTCTGCAAATTCTCTTTCATGTTTATAGGCTCCTAAGGTAAGCTGACGAGATGTTGTTAATAATTATAGCATCACTGCTGTTGGGTCTTGAAATATCATTTCATCATCGAACTCTGAAACCACTGTCTTTTTTCCCAGCATTGCATTGGTGTCTGATTGAAATAGCTTTTTTTTTTTTTTTTAAATTAATTAATTAATTTTTGGCTGTGTTGGGTCTTCGTTTCTGTGCGCAGGCTTTCTCTAGTTGGTGAGCGGGGGCTACTCTTCATCGCGGTGCGCGGGCTTCTCATTGTCGTGGCTTCTCTTGTTGTGGAGCACAGGCTCTACACGTGCAGGCTCAGTAGTTGTGGCTCACGGGCTTAGCTGCTCCGCGGCATGTGGGACCTTCCTAGACCAGGGCTCGAACCCATGTCCTCTGCATTGGCAGGCAGATTCTTAATCACTGCGCCACCAGGGAAGCCCCTGAAATAGCTTTAATAAACGATACAGGGTTACAGGTCTTCCATTAGGATCAATGAAAAATATTTTGATGATTATTTCGAATTCACCCCAACCTGTTTCAGTGATTTCAGATGGAGGCTTAGTAACAACTCTTAAAGGATTGCCATAGCTTTCATATAATTTAAATTGGATTTTCTTCACATATGCTGACATATCCTCATTTCTGTATGGTTTTACATGTACTGTCCACTGATGGGTGTGCCCATCCTCTTCTCTTTTCTTTCCAAAATATGGGGCAACATTACCATAAACTATTGGTTTAACGACAGTAACCCCCTTCACTCTCCCACCGGAGTCAGGCTCAAATTCGGCCATTCTCTTGAACATACTGTCCTACGGAAGAAGCCGCCGCTGCCAGGGAAAGAGACTGGGGCCAGCGGACTCGCCGCTCCGCTCCTCCCGCGCGGGCCCAAGGAGAAGGGTTTCTGGCCGAAGGAAGACGAGTCAGCAATGCTCAGGGTGCTGAGGAATCGCCAACGCCTCACGGCAGAGGGCGTCACGGAAGCCCATTCAGCCCCACGCAGGATGGGAAAGGTGGCGGCTACAAGGTAATTTTTAAAATTTGGAGGTAGATAAGATTGAGATTTTTTTTTTTGAATATGGATGACTGTGCAGAAAAGAGTTATTAACACAGTGGTCTGAGATTGCTATCCTTAGAAAGGTCTGCTTCCAAGGTTGGCCCTTGGCTGGTGGCTGGGAATTTGGCTGGTAAACAGTTTTTTCCTATACTGATATAAAACTCCCTAAACAATGAGCAGCTTACTGTGCCTAAACTGTTTGTACAAACAATATAGTTTATGCCGAAAACCTGATTTCCTTCTGGGAGTTAGGAATTTTGGTACGTGCTAAGTAAGGGTGCCTATGTGACCAGCTGCCAATAAAAAGGCTTGGGTGCTCTCTAATAAGCTTCCCTAGTAGAATACGCTTTGCATATGTTATCACAACTTATTTGAATATGCTTTGCATACATTATCACAACTCATTTGCTGGAAGAATTAAGTGCATCCTGTGCAATCTCACTTGGAGCAGACTCTTAGAAGCTTGCACCTGGTCTCCTGTGGACTTCACCCTATTTGCCTCTCGCCTTTGCTGTTTTTTGCTTTCTATCCTTTAACTCTAAATCTCAGCCATGAGAACAAATTTACACTCAGTTTTATCAGTCCTTCTAAAGAAATCTTTAAACACAGAGGTGGTTTTGGGGACCCCCAATACAACAAACAATTGTTCCAGCACCATTTGTTGAAAAGACCATCCTCTCTCCACTGAATTACTTGGGATTTCCGTGAAAACTCCACTGACCAGGGACTTCGCTGGTGGTGCAGTGGTTAAGAATCCGCCTGCCAATGCAGGGGACACAGGTTCAAGCCCTGGTCCGGGAAGATCCCACATGTCACGGAGCAACTAAGCCCGTGTGGCACAACTACTGAAGCCCACCTAGAGCCCGTGCTCCGCAACAAGAGAAGCCACTGCAGTGAGAAGCCCCCGCACCGCAACGAAGAGTAGCCCCCACTCACTGTAACAAGAGAAAGCCTGTGCATAGCAACGAAGACCCAACGCAGCCAAAAAATAAATACATTAATTAAAAAAAAAAAAAGAAAAAACTCAACTGACCAACTTTATACTTGTTCAGTTGTTTTGTTCATTTTAGGTGGTTTACACTCCACATTAATTTTATTATTATTATATACATTTTAAAATTATTTATTTATTTTTGGCTGCATTGGGTCTTCGTTGCTGTGCGCGGGCTTTCTCTAGTTGCAGAGAGCGGGGGCTACTCTTCGTTGCAGTGCGCGGTCTTCTCATTGCAGTGGCTTCTCTTGTTGTGGAGCACGGGCTCTAGAGCACAGGCTCAGTAGTTGTGGCGCACGGGCTTAGTTGCTCCGCAGCATGTGGGATCTTCCCGGACCAGGGCTCGAACCTGTGTCCCCTGCAATGGCAGGAGGATTCTTAACCACTGCGCCACCAGGGAAGCCCCACAAAAATTTTACAATCAACTTCTTAATTTCTACAATAAGAGCCTGGGATTTCATTGAATCTACAGATATTTCTGAGACTTAAAAACATTAACAATATTAAGCATTCTCATCTGTGAACATTGCATATCTCTCCATTTATTTAATTCTTCTTTAATGTCTCTCAGCTATTTTGAGGTCTTCAAGTGTACATATCTTGTGCATATTTTGTTGAATCTATCCTTAAGTATTTTTTTATCTACTATAAATATTGCTTTCTTTCAATTTCAAACTGTTCATTGCTAGAAAATAGAACTATAATTGATTTTTGCATGGTTACTGATCTTGTATACGACCTTACTAAACTCATTTTTCGCAGACTTTTTGGTATTGTCTATGTACACTAAGTGAACAACACAACTCTACTTCATCCTTTCAAATCTGTGTGCCTTTATTTCTTTTTCTTGCCTTGCTGCATTGGATCAGACCTTCACTTTAATGAAGAATAAAAATTTTGCGGACAAATATCCTTGTTCCTGATCGAAGGGGAAACACATTAAGTGTCTCACTATTTATATTAGATGTAGGATTCATAGACACCCTTTATCAGGCTGAGGAATTCCCCTCTAATCTTAGTTTGCTAAGAGCGTCTGAGAGTTTTACCACACATGAATGTTGAACAAAGATATTTTTAATTATTAAAAAAATTCAATGCTTGCCAGAGTATGCCAGTAGACTTTAAAATGTTCTAATCTTTAACCCAGCAATGTGGTCAAATATTCAGGTACAACAACATTCATGGTGAAAAACTGGAAACAACAGAAATGACCCAAAACAGTTAAATAAATCACTGTATACACAAAGAACACTTTTTAGCATTAAAAATTATGTGTCAAAGAACATTTCATGAAATGGGAAAATACATATTACAACATAATATTAAGAGATAAAAGCTAGATAAATCTTATGATTCCAATTTTGTATAAATATACATATATGAGTGCTAGGATTAGTAATAATATCTTTAAAAATATTTTCCTGGGGCTTCCCTGGTGGCGCAGTGGTTGAGAGTCCGCCTGCCGATGCAGGGGACACGGGTTCATGTCCTGGTCCGGGAAGACCCCACATGCCGCGGAGCGGCTGGGCCCGTGAGGCATGGCCGCTGAGCCTGCGCTTCCGGAGCCCGTGCTCCGCAACAGGAGAGGCCACAACAGTGAGAGGCCTGCATACAGCAAAAAAAAAAAAAAAAAAAAAATCCTGTATTTTCTATATTTTCTACAATAAACCTGAAAAATCCGATGTCTGGTACAGTACCTTGCAACCACTGTAGCTCAATAAATGTTATTTTAAAAAGGGCAAATAGGGGCTTCCCTAGTGGCTCAGTGGTTAAGAATCCGCCTGCCAATGCAGGGGACTCGGGTTCAAGCCCTGGTCTCGGAAGATCCCACATGCCGCAGAGCAACTAAGCCTGAGCGCCACAACTACTGAGCCTGTGTTCTAGAGCCCATGAGCCACAACTACTGAGCCCACATGCTGCAACTACTGAAGCCCGCGTGCCTAGAGCCTACGCTCCACAACAAGAGAAGCCACCACAATGAGAAGCCCGCAAACCACAAGGAAGAGTAGCCCCTGCTCGACAAAACTAAAGAAAGCCCGTGTGCAACGAAGACCTAATGCAGCCACAAATAAATAAATAAATGTAGTAAAAAAAAAAAGGGCAAATAAAAGTATTACAATAGCTGTTCTTTGAAATGACTTCCACTTAATCTACTTGCTAGATTATCTAATGCTCTCCATCCTATGAAATATGTATGCTGAAGTACACAGCATACTAAATGCTAGCAATTGTAGTGCAATCCCTCATGACTGCAAACTTTTGTTCCCACTGGCTGAATTATATCCTAATCACAAGTCAGTAGTAATATTTGTTCTCTCAGCTTTTGCTAATTGTACCATCATTGTTAATTATGTGATCTAATCAGACATTCTGTAAACTGTTGGAAACCAAGTGCAAAATGAAAAAGAAGTTGTTTCTGGGAATTCCCTGGCCGTCCAGTGGTTGGGACTCTGCACTTTCACTGCCGAGGGCACAGGTTCAATCCCTGGTCAGGGAACTAAGATCCCACAAGCCATGTGGCATGGCCAAAAACAACAACAACAAAAAAACGAGAAGTTGTTTTCATAAAAACTAAGTTGAATGTTTTGGAAAGACTTAATAAAAGTAAATCTCTAAAACCAATTCCTGATGAATTAGAGGTAAGACAATTCTAAAAACTTAGGGGAAAAACTGAACATATCTAGAAGATTTCTATACTAAGACTGTATCTGAAGTGTTTTAAAGTTTTTATCCTACTTTACATAAGCAAAAACTTGAAATTATAGGCAATACATTAAAGTTATGGTTTGTTTGAGAGACAGGAAGTTCCAAATGGCAGACTCATACTCAAAACCAAAAGGACTTGGCCTTAAAGCAAAAGACTGGTAAATTAACAGTACATTTAAATATTTCAAATTAAAATAAAACATTTAAGGTGTTTTAACTATTCTTTATGATTCCTCACCTTAAACGACTTTTTGGCTAATCATCACTAACTACTGGTCCTAACTGCATTAAGTAAAAGCATATCTACTGTACTTTGATAATCAGAAAAAAAATTATTAAAATTAAAAGGATTATTAGCGGAGTTGGGGAGGGAAGTACTACATCTCTTCACTCTGCTGATTTACCTCATAAAGCATGAGTCGAACATCAGCCTGCTGGCCTAAGCATCTCCTCAAACTATCCATGATCTCAAGGCAAAAGGTTTCATTGGCGACAGAACTGTAACGGCTATGGACATCCACATGGACCTGAAAAGAAGAGAGGCCAGTTCATGTCTATCTTACCAGAGTAAGTAGTTTCTATTAAGGGGGTAAAATGAGCTGATGTACTTGGTCAAAGAACCTTACATTTAGCTTTCCCCATATGCCAAAACCCAGGACTGAGGCAGACATTATAATCATTATTAGGCCATGATAAGTTATCACTCTTATTCTAGTTTGGACTAAGAGAATTTTCAAGCACTTAAAAAAATTAACTCTTCCTTATTCCTTAAGATTTTCCTTGGCAATGTCACCTGCTTAGGAAGGCACACAGATTATTTCATGCCTCTAGAATTCAGTAGTCATAATAAACTTGATTTTACATAAAAGGTCTAAAAGACTTCCTTACATGTCTTCAATAGCTAGAAGAATTGAGCTTTTTTTGGTTCCGTGAACTCCTGAGAGGTTTAGAGGTAGGTACTTATTTTCTTCAGATATGGACTTGACAAAGAATAACACTGCTTGTTTGAGTCATATAATAAATTCAGCCATTATAGACCAAGAACTCCTAATCCTTACTTCAGGCATCTTAGTGAGGAAGTTAATACTGACTGAGGTCAAATCCCAGTTCTACCCATTACTGGCCATATCACCTTGGGCAAGTTATTTAACCTCTCTCAATCTCAGTTTTCTTACCCTTAAATTGGGGATAATAACAATACATAAATGATACCCAGTGTTCCTAATATTTAATCTATGTCATAAACAAAAGTTTTGTATAGTTATACCAGAGCAATAAAGGATTCTTAATGAAACTAGTAAACAGATACGTCTCTTATTTACAAATCGTATATTACTGAATTTAAATGACAAAGACAATTTTATTGCTGCAAAACCTAGATTATCACATTACTGTAAAATGTTTTGTTTTCTCAGGTTATAGGTTTTAATAGATGTACAAAGTAAATAAACTATTAAAACTGGGGACAATAACAGTATTTAGCCTCAGAGAATTGCTGTGAAGATTAAATGAGAAAATAAATGTAAAGCACTTAGCATAGAGTCTAGCACAGTGCTGTCCAGTAGAAACACAATACAAATCACAAATGCAAGCCACATATATAATATTAAATTTTCTAGTAGTCAAATCAAAAAAGTAAAAAAAACTGGTGAAATTAATTTTAATATTTTATTTAACCCAACACAGCCAAAATATTATCTCAACACATAATCAAAATTAAAAATTATTAACGAGATAGTTTACATTCTTTTATCTCACACAGAGTCTTCAAAATCCAGTGTGTGTTTTACACACAGAGCAACACTCAATTTGAACTAGCGACATTTCAATCAATATTCAGTTCAACAGCCACCTTGAGGCTGGGGACTACCATATTGAAAAGCACAGTTAACACACAGCAAATTTTCCATTAAAAAGTGTTGGCTGATATCATCTCATCATCAGACTCTTAGTTTCAGGATCATTTGCACAACCAGAACAGGAGTAAAAGAAAAGAGTCTGCACATCATCAGCTCCTGCATCAGTGCACACACTACAAGCTGGTGTGAAAAAAAATCCTTACCTGGCTAATACCAATAGACTGACTGCACTGAGAAGACGACAAGCTGCCTAAAACTTTAAAGTTCTTCAGGAGCAGCAAAAACCCAGCAACTGCAGATTTTCGGGCATCAAGCTGGCTAGCTCAGGAATAGACAGAGAAGAAGTTACCAAACAGTACTGATTTCACAGGAATAGGCTTCTGGGTCAGAAAAATTCAGTTAGTTCTGTACAGGAAAGGAATATGTATAAACAATGAAGCACAGAGCAAAATAAATTGAATTTATATACTCAAAATAAGGCATTGGGGCTTCCCTGGTGGCGCAGTGGTTGAGAGTCTGCCTGCCGATGCAGGGGACACGGGTTCGTGCCCCGGTCCGGGAAGATCCCACATGCCATGGAGCGGCTGGGCCCGTGAGCCATGGGCGCTGAGCCTGCGCGTCCAGAGCCTGTGCTCCACAACGGGAGAGACCACAACAGTGACAGGCCCGCGTACCGCAAAAAAAAAAAAAAAAAAGGCATCGGCTGTTCACAGCAATTAGTAGTATAGGAATTCAGCTGAATTTTGCATTATCTACTTAACCTCATGGCACTATCTATACTTTCTTCTATCCTGCTGACAAGTCTATGAGGGAAATGAGAACAAGAGTGCTGAAAGGCTCTACAATGGGTTGATAACTCAAATGTAAGTACTAAATATAGCAAAGGAAATTGTTGATTTTCTCTGAGTTTAAAGGAGCACTTCCTTTCTTCATAGAGGAGTGCAGTGCTTGGTGCCTTATAAACCCTCCATGCAGAAAAATGATACACTCATCTCACTGAGGCTCAATGATTAGTTCATGTTATAGATGCTACAATATACAACCTTGGCCTATCAGACATGCTTTTGGGTAAGGAGTAACAACAAACTGTTAATTCTAGAATAGGGATAAATAGCATATGGCTACTTACTAGTTGCTCCTCTGAATATCCATGAGTGTATTATAATATGGCCAATGTGATATTAATTTGGTATCTTATCCTTAAAGTAACAAATGCTTCCCACATATTACCCATCTCATAGTATCTTTAGGAGATGGTATTATCATCTCTAAGTTTGGGTTAGGAATTTGCATGACTGCTGTGAATAGGCTGTACTAGAGATGACTGCAGAGAGGACTCTAAGTAACATTAGAAAGCATCACTTCCTCAGATCTCATGGGAGGCTACATACCTGGCAAACATAGCTTTCCGAAGGACAAGTATCAAGGAGTCTCTTATTGACAAGCTGACTTTTAGAAGGGGCTGAAAGAGGAAGAATCAGTAGGTAAAAACAGCAATTTGTTTATTAGCCTTAGCACATTTCTACTCAATACTGTTACCATTTGGCTTTTATAAGAAAGTTTGGCTCTGTTTTATAAACAAGTTGCATTGTTTATTACACTTAGTAATAAGGACAATTTTATATTTTGAAATGCTAAATTGAAACTAGTTGTGAATACCTTTAAACCTATTGTCCTCAATTAATAATTTCCTAAGAGCCTTTCAATTACTTCACTAACTTGAAACTGAATCAAAGGAGAGAGAATAGCACTATGAAGAGGGGGTAAACTTGGAAAACAGACTCTATTTTAATAGAAAGTTTTATGTTCTAGAATCAAGGAAAACAGTATTTCTTACACGTATATGTGTAAGAAATACATCAGACCTCCACTCAGCAGTTCAACCTCAGTTGTGGTGAGCTCTTTACGAGTCAAGACTTACCTGCACTGCCTTCATCAGCCCTTGTACGGTTTGAAGGGGCAGAAAGGACAAATAGTCAAAAGTTTCTGTGACTTTAGAAGAACAACTTTGAAGAACTAAGGGTGAATACATGATGATATCTGAAAGCAGGTCTGAAAAACAGAATCTATAATCAGTTGCCTCAAATAACTAAAAACGTTTCAAATAAAAGGAACATAAAATGGAGAAAGAAATGGTAAAAAGTTTTTTGTTTCTTTCTCTAAGTACACTCTAACATTGATACTGATTCTATGTATTAAGACTTTAAGGTCAATGTAACCAGGATACTTGTAAAATTTCTTCTGGTGATAGTATAAGACTACAAAAATTAAACTGTCTAAAAGAAAGGAAGAAACCCATTATACTGCCTGAATAAGTAGCACACATTGTCTTCATATTTCCAAACTGAAATAAATAAATAAATATTTATGAATTTCTATTATGTGCAAGCGTAATAATATGGTCCTATAAGGAATATTCAAAAGCACAAAACCTGGTCTCTCTTCCTTCAAGAATGTTAATTTAGCTGGAAGTGAAGAAAAAAATATTTTAAAAGAATGAAAGAAGTAATAGAATGATACCAAAAATCTAATAATTCCAAACATTGTTTATTGTCTAGCAAATGGTAAAGAGAGAGTTTAAACAGGAGCGCAAAGGAAGAGATCATTATGAGATGGTGTGCTTTAGGAGAGCAAAGAGAAGAAGGAATTTAAGCTGGATTCTAAAAGATGGGTAACATTTAGATGCACAAAGAACTGGAAAGAACTATTATATTTAAAGGGAAAAGTACGAGTAAAAGTACAGGAAAGGCAAGTGTAAGACATATTCAGAGGATGGTGGGGAAATCTGTGGAGATAGGGTGAAGCATTCAGAAAAGTAAATAATGGAAGTTAGTGCTGGAAAGGTAGGTTGGATCAAATTGTCAAGGACTTTTTTTGGCAGTGGCACGTGGCTTCTGGGATCTTAGTTCTGCGACCAGGGATCAAACCCAGGCCCATGGCAGTGAAAGCACTGAGTGCTAACCACTGGACTGCCAGAGAATTCCATCAAGGACTTTAAATACCAGGATAAAGAGCTGGTAATTTATGAAAGGAGGTATTAGTGAGTTTTGAATGACAGAGTGGTATTTTAGGAATACTGATCTGGCGGCAATTTGCAGGCAGAATCGCTGCAGAGAAAAAAGAAAGCAGGGAAACCAGCTAGGAAGCTGTGGTAGTAGTCTAAATGCAAGGTTATAAGACTGGGAATTAGGCAATGGGTGTATGTGTGTGGGGGAGGGTATAAAAAAGAAGAAAGAGGTAACAGTATGAGGGAAAGAATGAAAGAACTTAGGTACCAAGTGTATTTGAGAAGATTAAAAGGAATTCTAGCCTCTGAGACTCAGAGCCGTGTTTCAGATAACAGAAATAGGGACAACGGAAAGGGGAATTTGTTTGAAGGCAACAGTATTGCATTTGAAATAAAAGGAAAAAAAATACTAAATGGAAATATCCAGCAGGAATGAAGTCATTGAAGCACTGAACTAAGGAAAGAGGAGTCTTGACATAAAGATTTGGGAGCCATGCCCACAAAAGACCCCACCAAAATAACTGAAATCATGAGAAGGGGTATGATATCTGCAAGTAAGATAATGTATAAAAAGAGGGACAGACACTGCCCACCAGGATGGAGTAAGAGTAACCAGATTTATCTTCCCACTTTAAACATCTACAAGAAAATAAGCCAAATTACATGAAACAACAATTTTCAGACACCAGACAAGAAGCAGTACAGACAATGATCCCTGAGAGAAGGGAAATAAATGAGGAGAGGCTTATAATAATTGCCCCATCTTACTGCCTGGAGGGTTTCTAGGCAGTAGCACAGAGAGGGGAAACTCAGAATCCAGCGGTCTTCCTGAGTTACAGAGACAGAGTTGACAATTCAGGAAAGCTAAGGCAGCTAGAATTCATAGGGCAGAGTACCAGAAAGGAAAGAGCTGCATGGAAAGAGGGCCCTGGAGATGTGCAGGTAGCTCCCCTTGTATGTTAGCTGCATGCTAGTCAGTGCATCTGTATGAAAAAACAATCTAAGTCAGGGAAAAAATCACAGGCAAGCAGTAGGCAAATCCATTCTCAGAGGTCATAAAGGACAGGAAATAGTTTATATTCACAACATCCACAGTGGAGACACCTCATAATATACAAGGAGCATTGCTTTAATTGTAGCGCCAAGTTGGCCCTAGATTAAAGGCTATCTGGTCTTATATAACACAACATAAGAATAATCATAAAAAGGATTAAATGCTTTCCAAGAAACTTAAAGCTCAATAATATTCAAAGGAAAAAAAAATCCAGCAAATTAACAATGTGAAGTTCACAGTGTCTGCCATCCAATCAAAATTATTCATCAGGCAAAGAAGCAGGAAAACACAACTCATGACGACGAGGAAATAAATCAATAAAAACAGATCAGAAATTACACAATGATAACAGTTAGTAGACAAGGACATTAAAAGAACTAAAATAAATATATGTTCAAGAAGGTAAGGGAAGGGAATTCCCTGGTGGTCCAGTGGTTAGGGCTTGGTGCTCTCACTGCCAGGGACCCAGGTTTGATCCCTGGTTGGGGAACTAAGATCCTGCAAGAAGATGTGGCACAGCAAAAAAAAAATAGGTCAGGGAAGCATGTTTTAAAAAAAAAGACAGGGAAGATACGGAAGACATAAATCAAACATCTAAAAATAAAAATTTTAATGGATAAGATCACTGCAGAAGATTTGGGAATCTGAATTTACAGCAATAAAAACTATCTAAAATGAAACACAAAGTAAAAAAGACTAAAGAGGGCTTCCCTGGTGGCGCAGTGGTTGAGAGTCCGCCTGACGATGCAGGGGACACGGGTTCGTGCTCCGGTCCAGGAAGATCCCACATGCCATGGAGCAGCTGGGCCCGTGAGCCACGGCCGCTGAGCCTGCGCGTCCAGAGCCTGTGCTCCGCAACGGGAGAGGCCACAACAGTGAGAGGCCCGCGTACCGCAAAAAAAAAAACAAAAAAAAAAAAAAAAAAAAAAGAAAGGATATCCATGCGATGAGCAGTGTAACAACGCACAGCCACATATGTGTAACTGGAATCGCAGAGACCGTGTGCGTGTGTGTGCGCGCGCACGCGCGTGCACCAGTGAGGAAGATGACAGAAAAAAATTTTTGAAGAGATAATACCTGAAGAATTTTCAAACTTGATGAAAACCATAATCTTACAGATCCAAGCAGCTTAACAAACCTCAGTCACGAGAAACATGAAGGAAACAACACTAAAGCACATCATAATTAAATTGCTTAAAACCACTGATAAAAGAAGAAATCTAAAAATAAAAAAGACATTATAAAGAGAAGAAAAAAGAGAATGAAAGCAGACTTTTCATTGGAAATGATGAAAGCCAAAACTCAGTAGAGCAATATCTTTAAAGCACTAAAAGAAAAAAGTCAATCTAGAATTCCATACCCAATGAAAATGTCTTTTAAGAAGTAACATGAAATGAAGACTTTTTTTGATACACAAAAGAATTCATCGTCAGCAGATGAGCAGTATAAGAAAAGAAAAGGCAGTCCTTCAGACAGAAAGAAAGTGATACTAGATAGAAATCTGGATTTACACAAAGGAAAAAGCACCAGAAATGGTAAACACATGGGTAAAAATTAAAAGACTTATTAAAAAATTCTTAAAAAGATAAATGTTTAAAGCTAAATTAGGGCTTAACTGGTGGTACAGTGGTTAAGAATCTGCCTGCCAATGCGGGGTACATGGGTTCAAGCCCTGGTCCGGGAAGATCCCCCATGCCGAGGAGCAACAAAGCCCATGTAAAACAACTACAGAGCCTATGCTCTAGAGTCTGTGAGCCATAACTACTGAGCCCGTGTGCCACAACAACTGAAGCCCACACGCCCTAGAGCCCATGCTCTGCAACAAGAGAAGCCACCGCAATGAGAAGCCCGAGCACCACAACAAAGAGTAGCCCCCACTCGCCGCAACTAGAGAAAGCCTGTGCACAGCAACAAAGACTCAACGCAGCCAAAGATAAAAAAAATAAAAATAAAAACAAGCTAAATTAACAACAATGTAGATATAATTCAATATACTGACAGAGAAGTAAAATGCATGAGAACGCACAAAAGCTACTGGAGTAGGGGTAAAAAATGGAAGTATACTGTTGTAATGCTCTTATACTATATGTAAAGAGGTATGCTACTACTTGAAGGTAGACTATAATAAGTTAAAGATGTATATCATAAACCCTAAAGCAACCCAGAAGAAAATAAAACAAGAGATATAACTAATCAAATTAGCAAGATAAAACGGAATCATTAAAAACCAAAAAACCTCAATTGAAGAGAAGGGAGGAGGCTTCCCTGGTGGTGCAGTGGTTGAGAGTCCGCTTGCCGATGCAGGGGACGCGGGTTCGTGCCCTGGTCCAGGAAGATCCCACATGCCGCGGAGCGGCTAGGCCCGTGGGTCATGGCCGCTGGGCCTGTGCATCTGGAGCCTGTGCTCCGCAACGAGAGAGGCCACAACAGTGAGAGGCCCGTGTACCGCAAAAAAAAAAGAGAGAAGGGAGAGGAGAAAAAAGGGAACAAAAAACAGACAAAGTAGAAAACAAATAGCCGGATGTTAATCACATTAAATGTAGATGGCCTGCCCTGATTAAAAGTCAGAGACTGTCAAATTGGATAAAAAGAAGTAAAACACAATTGTATGTTGTCTATAATAAAACGCAAGTTAACTATATAAGGACAGAAATAAGTTAAATCTAAAAAGATGGAAAAAATATACCATGTTAACACTGATAAAAAGAAAGCTGCAGAGGTTATATTAATATCAAAGTAGACTTCAGAGTAAATAATATTGCCAGGAACAAAAAGGTCATTTCATAACAATTAATGGATCCATTAACCAAGAGGACATAACAATCCTTAATGTTTATGCCCTATAATAGAGTTTTAAAATTCCTGAAGCAAAAACTGATAGAACTGAAAGGCACAGTCATTTCTATAAATACAAAGTCAGAGATTTCAACACCCCTCTCTTAATAGTTAACAGAATAAGTAGACAGAAAATCAGTAAGGACACAGGAGACTTGAATAATCTGAATTCAGTGATTTATAGAAAACTACCTAATAATAGAATACATATTATTTTCAATAGCATGGAGAACATTTATCAAAATGAACCATATTCTGAGAATAAAACAAGTCTCAATAAATTTTTTAAAATTCGCATCATACAAAGTATGTTTTATAACCACAAATTAGAAATCAATAACAGAAAACCTGGAAAATCTACAAATACTTGAAAACTAAACAACACACTTCTGAATAACCCACTAGTTAAAGAACAAATCACAAAAGAAATTAAAAGTATTTGGAACGGAATGAAAATAAAAAACAAAATTTATGGGATGCAGCTAAAGCAACGTTTAGAAGGAAATTTATAGTTTAAAGCTTGTATTGAAAAAAAAGAGAAAGGTCTCAAATTAATGACATACACTTTTAATCAAAAGAAGCACAGACTGACCCAAAGTAGCAGTAAAAACAAAACAAAAAAGAGCACATATCAATAAAACTGAAAACAGAAAAACAACAGAGAAACTCAATGAAACCAAAAGCTGGTTCTTGGAGAAAAATCAATAAAATTGATAAACCTCTTGCTAGACTAATCAGGAAAAAGAGAAAAGATGCAAATTATGGCTTTTAGGAGTCAGAAAGGGCAAATCAATATAGATCCTACAGACATTAAATGGAATACTCGGAACAACTTCATGACAATAAATTTGATAACTTAAGATGAAATGGTCAAATTCCTTGAAAGACACAAACTACCAAAGTTCACCCAGAAGATTCAGATAACATGACTAGCCCTACTTCTATTAAAAGAATGGATTTTGTAGTTAAAACCCTTCACACAAACAAAAGGAAACTTCAATCATCAGGAAGGAAAAAAATAGCAATATCAATATCTAGGTAAATATAACAGACCAGAAGTTGGCACACTTTTTCTGTAAAGGGCCAGACAATAACTATTTTAGGCTTAATGGGTCAAGTGAGATAGATATATATATCACGAGTTGGTATATGTATGTATGTGTGTGTGTATATATATATATATATACACCAACTCAACTCCGCTGGTAAAGTATAAAAGCAAGATAGACAACACATAAATGACTGAGCATGTCTGTATTCCAATACTACTATACTTTATGAACTCTAAAGTCTAAAATTTTCATGTATCATGATATATTCTTTTGATGTTTTTCAATCACTTAAAAGAGCAAAATGAACCCAAAGCAAGCAAAAAGAAGGAAAAAAAAAAAAACAGAATTTTGGGAAAATTAAAAAAAAAAAAAAAAAAAGAGAGAAAATTCAAACTAAAATCTCATTCTTTCAAAGATTAGTAAAACTGGCAAGCTTCTAAGCCAGACTGGTAAAGAAAAAAAGAAAAAAGACATATCACTGATATCAAGAACGTCTAGATTTGGAGATGACGTGATTTCTATGTAGAAAATCCTAAGGAATTGCCAAAAAGCGACTAGAACTAATAAGTGGGTTTATCATGGTTGCAGGATATAAGGTCAATATTAAAAAAGCAACTATTTCTACACAACAGCAATCAACAATCAGAAATGGAAAATTTTAAAAATAGTATTTACAATAGTGTCAAAAAAATGAAATAGGGATCAACTGACAAAAGATATGCAAGATCCACGCACTGAAAACTACAAAACATTGATGAAAGAAATTGAAGTAAATAAACGGAGAGATACATTGTGTTCGTGGGTTAGAAGACTCAATAGTGCTAAGATGCCAGTTCTCTCCCCAATTAATCCATACATTTGAGGCAATCTCCATCAAAACTTGAGACCTTTTATAAAAATTGACAAACTGATTAGAATATTTATTTGGAAATGCAAAGGACCTAGAATAGACAAAAGTTAAAAGACTTACACTATTGCTTTTAAGACACATCATGACGCTATAGCAATCAAGACATAACACACACATAGCTCACTGGAATAGAACAGATTCCTAAAATAGACTCACACATGTATGGTTAGTTGATTTCAATAAAGATGTCATGGTACCTCAATGAAGAAAAGATAATCTTTTCAAAAAATTGTGTTGGAACAACTGGATAGCCTTAAGCAAAAAGATGAACCCTGTTATGTCACATCCTATACAAAATTTAACAAAAATGGATCACAGATCTAAGTATAAGAGCTGAAACTGTAAGGCTTCTAGTAGAAAATATAGGAGAAAATCTTAGTGACCTTGGGTTTGGCAAAGATTTTTTTTAATACATGACATAAAAAGCAGGAACTATACAAAACTGATGAACTGGTAACTGATAAATTAAAAATGTTGGTTCTTCAAATGACACTGTTACAAATATTAAAAGTCAAACCACAGACCAGGAGAAAATATCTGCAAAACATATATCTGACAAAGGACTTGTATTTAGAATATATAAATAACTCTTACAACTCAGTAATAAAAAAGGAAACAACTCAATTTTTTTAAATGGACAAAAGACCTGAACAGACATTTAACCAAAGAAAATATAGAAATGACAAATAAGCATGGCAAATGTTCAATATATCATTAGGCATTGAGGAAATGCAAACAAAAACACAATTAGAATGAGTAAAATTAAAAAGACTGATCATACCAAGAGTTGGTCACAATGTGGAGCAACTAGAAACACTGCTTATAGGAATGTAAAATGGTACGACTGTGGAAAATAGTCTGGCAGTAAAGCCTACACCTACCATATGGTGTACCCATTCCACTATAACATGTTTCCATACAAAAATGAAAGCATACATCCTCAGAAAGACTTATACATTAATGTTCATAGCAGCTTTATTCGCGATAGCCCCAAACTAGAAACAACCTAAAAACCTGCACACAGGTGAATGGATAAATTGTGGTTATATCCGTATTAGGGAATACTAACAATAAAAAGGAAATCAATTATTGATACGTGTGACAACTACAGAAAAATCTCAAAAGAATTATGCTGAGTGAAAGCCAGACCAAAAAGAAAGGAAAAAAAAAAAGGAGTACACACTGTAGGATTCCATTTACATAAAATTTTTTAAATTTATAGTGACAGAAAGCAGACCAGACTAGAGATGAGAGATGGGAAGGTCGAGAGGGATGCAGGAACAAATTACAAAGAGGCACCAGGAAACATCTGTGGGTGATAGATATGTTCATTTGGACTATGGTGATACTTTCTGTTTCGCTGGTGTATACGTATGTCAAAAGTTATCAAACTGTTATACTTTAAATATGTGAACATTGTTGTACCTCAATTATACTTCAGTAAAGCTGTAAAGAAAGAAAAAAAGTAGAATGAACTGTCAAGTACAGAGCTTTGGAGAACCCTGACATTTAAGGATAGAAGAAAGAAAAGGAATCACTAAAGAAGAAAAAGAAACTGATCATAGGCAGGATAAGATGCAAATTATTACAGTTATCAACTTCAGGGGAGTTGTAAACAGTGTAGAATGACAAAGAAATTAAGAAAGTCGGTGATTAAGAAAAGACCAGTGGATTTAGACATTAGGATATACGTATTAAAAGAGCAAAACATTCAGAGGTCACCAAAGAGACCAGTACTGAAGTCAGAATGTCAAGGGTTAGGGCTTCCCTGGTGGCACAGTGGTTGAGAGTCCGCCTGCCAATGCAGGGGACACGGGTTCGTGCCCGGTCCGGGAAGGTCCCACGTGCCGTGGAGCGGCTGGGCCCATGAGCCATGGCCGCTGAGCCTGCACATCCGGAGCCTGTGCTCCGCAACGGGAGAGACCACAGCAGTGAGAGGCCCGCGTACCGCCAAAAAAAACCACAAAAAAAACAAAAAACGAATGTCAAGGGTTAAGAGAACGGGAGGTCAGTGAGTGACAGCAGAAGGACAGCACTCACCTGAGAAGTATTCAAACAAAAAAGAGAGAAAGTTGATGCAAGACAGAAGTTTCACTCATTAGTTATATGCTCTTTTCCTTCTTGACAATATAAATGCATTTATGTTTTACTGGCATCATAATCAAAGATGTCATTAAAGATGTCAATCTACTGTATCATTACATTTTTTTTCCAGGACCAAAAGCATTATGACATTTAAATAAAAATGTTCCTGACAACTTTATCCACCCTTCCAAAGTTCAATACCTATGAAATGAGTGATGGGGGAGGATCCTCTGGTAACAACCCTGTTGAGGACCTGCTCCAGAATTTCTTGTCTGATCATCTCATGGATCTAAAAAGAACAGAAGAACCAATAAAATATTCCTTGGTGACCTTCAGCTTACAATTATATCAATGCATGTTAGGCAGATTAAAGAATAGTTTGAATATGGGTAAAACTGGACTGTTTATTTCAAAGACAAATATAATGTGAATCATCTGGAAAGAATCACTCAATTCTACCCTCATTCTGTGCTCAGACAATTCATTAGCAGGGCAAACTTTTATTAGCCTAAAAGAGAAATCATATGAAAGTACTGCTACACATAAGGTCCAGCATCAAACAGGAATAATTCTACCTAGGTATCTATTACATGCCAACGTCCATATTCCTGACAGTATGCACAACTTTTATTTTAAAATTTAAAAGCCCACGAAAATTTCTGAAAACCTACAAAATCTTCACCAAGCCCTTCCTCAGTTTCTACAAGCAGAGCAACTGCCTAAAAAACAACCTGTTTTGAATTTTTACTTGAATTTTAGTTAAATTTCATACCTGAACTCGATAACTTTGGGATACAGACTAATTACTTTCAGACCCTGGACTAATAATTTGATTATTAGTAAATTCTATGTTCTATAGATACCTTGGCAAAGCCAACATCTGTGTGAAATCAAGTGGAACCTTCTTAGTTTTAAAAAAGATTAATTTAAAAACAAAAACCATTTTCTTATTCTAAGAATGTTTTTAATCAGATTATGGTTAAGGAGAGTCATATGTATCTAATACACAACTCTCAAGGACTATTATATGGCATTCACTTCATAGTTCTGGATCAGAACATCAGATTTACATTTAAATTGGCCTCCAAATAACATTTTTAGCAGATACTTTTGTTGTGTAGATACAGTGAACAACTGAATGTAAAGAAGATGTCTTAGGAGAAACCACTAGCAAAGCAAATTTGTTTAGTCTCAGATATGATCTTTTTTGAACTTGAAATGCATTTTTGAAAGCTATTTCAGAAATTAAGATTGAGATGATAGCCATAATATGGTAATGAATTAAAAGAGTGTAAATTCCCCAATTTGGTTCTTCAAAAAACAATGAACCAATAAGCATGATTCTTCAAGCTTGATGTTCTACAGCAACCTAAAAGATTATTTTTTGTATAAGGGAATTTTAAAAACCCAGAAATGATTTACTGCTAGAGGAAGAAGAGGAAATCATGAGGAAGTTAACTTATATTCAAACTTCTAAAACATGGTCAGGAAGAACAGAAATTAGAATAAATGAAAATCTCATATAAATAAAGAGTGAGAAAGTAAGTATTCCATCAAACTGGGTCTATAATGTTTCCATTACTATCCCAATCTCTGTTCTGGGAAACTGCTACATACTCAAATTGCCCTGTCCCCCAGACTCCCAAGTTAATGCCCTATTTATTAGGGAATGGTTGCTAAACTAGAGTCTCACCTTGAAAGTTTCCAACAGGATATTAGCTCCCAGCTTACATGCATGCTGGTTTGGCATTCTAGAAAGACCTGAGCTGGCTTCAATAGTTTTTCCATCAAGAATCTTCTTTGGCCCATAGGAATCCATTAGAATGAAGCCAAGTTCTACCAGGCCCTGAGTAACATGATCCCAACTGTGAACACTGCAAGAAAACAAAGTTTAGTTAAGAAGAAAAACTTAGTAAAATACCTTACCTCTATATTCTCTGCCACGTTACATATTTCCCAAACTTGACCTGGATAACCAACACTCCACATCAATTCTGGATTTCTTAATGAACAGTAATGGGAATGGTAGGCAAGCAATCTCTACCGACAGAACACCGAGAAAATCCAAAAACTACAGAACATTAAAAAACATATGAGGCAGGGCAGTACTCTGAGAGGATGACAACATGCTGGAGGATTAAGTCAATGCCACACCTAGAAGATTAGCCCTTGGTACACCCTACCACTATCCTCAAGTCACAGAGGCAGAATGTGTTAAAAGATACAGCACTCTCAGACAAACTAATGGGGAATATCAAAAACGATAATAAGGAGATAAGCAATAACCACCAAATACAAGAAAACAGTATCACCACGAAAGAGAAGCACCAAACTCAATGAAGACAACTAATCGCTAAGGGAAAAGGTTAATGGAACAAAGAGAAGATTTTAAAAGTCTAATGAATATCCTCAGAGAAATAAGAAAGAATATTATAGAATGAAACAAAAAATGAACTGTTATGAAAATAGAACCAATTAGAAATATTGGAAATAGAAAACATGACGGATAGAGTGAAAAAAATCAATAAATGGACCTAAGAATAAAATGGGCAGAGCTGAAGAAATAATTATTGAGAAGAGCGAACTAAGGAATTTTTGTTGAACTTGACACAAAAAGACAAAAATATAAAAAACGTGAAAGAAAAATTAAGAGATACAGCACACAGATCAAGAAATTCCAACAGTTAATAAGAGAGAAAAAGGGGAGACGGTACTCAAAGAAAATAGAAGAAAATCATTACAGAGTTTAGGAAAGACATGACTCCTTACAGTGAGAGGGCACACCAATTATCAAACAGAAATGAATTTAAAAGGAACTTACATAAACACAAATTGTGTTAAATTTCAGAAGATCAAGGATAAAAATAAAGTCTTAAAAGTTCCCATGAAGAAAAATAACAGATTATCTAAAATAATACAAGAATCAGATAACCATCAGACTTTTCATCAGCAATTCTAGATGCAAAAAGACAACGTGAAACTGATTATAAACTCAGAATTTTAAACCTCGTCCAACTATTACTGTTCAAGTGGAAGAGCAAAACAAAGACATTTTCAGATATGAAAAGTTTACTATCCACAAACCATATCAGAAAGGATTACTGCAAAAAATATATACTTATGGCATATTTCCAAGTGAAAAGTATGAGGTTCAAAAGATAGATGTAAACAAAGAAACCAGTAAAATTATGAAGTCTAAATAAGTATAGTCTGTTAATAATCTTAACAAGAATGAAGTGGAGAAATGTGTGCTGTGGGCTAAAGTTACCATCTTGGAGGGAGGAGACAGTTGTAGTCGGTTTGCTACAAAATGTTTATCTGTAACATGAAAGAGCTCATACATGATTGGTAAACAGGGGAGGTAAGTATAACCTGGAAGTTGTATTGGTTCATAGGTGATTTTTTTTCCTAGTACATTAATGTTCTGCACCTCTAAGTATCTGCAGGTAAACACAAAGTATGTCAATAGAGCTAAATATAGCAAACCATGGAGACAAACCACAGACAAAGCATGACACAGTAAAGACCGTTATAACAGCTAACGTATATTCTGAAATACAACATTAAACATGAAAGTAACAACCAGGATGGTTACCAGTTTTTTCAATTTGATTTAAAATGGATTTGCCTAAAACTGCTAATTTAATTGTCTAAAACTGCTAATTCAATTCCATCCATCAGTCCCAAACTCCAACAGTTAAAGTAAATAAAACTCGGTTTTCTACTCACCTAAAAAGCCAATGAAGACTCAGGCCAATAGAGTAGTAATAGCATTAAAGGAAATAGCATGAAAGGAGCAAAGGTACCTACTTCAGTTTTGTATCCTTGCTATCAAGGTGGCCAAGAGCTCAGCCCTTGGGATTCAAGGATCTTCTGATCTTAACACTAAATACCCTATGAACCTTATGGTTCATGAACTTACCTATTCTTTACCACTTCCAAGATCATGGTTGAAACACAACATCTATGAGGAACTAGATTCTGAAGAAATTTTGAGCCTTGGAGAAGCTGAAGATCCTTAAAGCTTTTTATAACCAAAGACTTTAAAAGGTCAAATACCTAATATAATGAAAGAAATAGGAAAATGAAGCAAAAAATGATAGCCCATACTATAGAATCTTAACCCTGTAACTGTTCCTACTTGCTGCCATACACTCATATCCCTATGACAACTGTTTCACTGATGAGTATGATACAAAAATTATGACTTTCAGTGGGAACTTAAAAGAGCTGAAGACAGGTCTTCCTTGAGAGGAAAAGGGCTAAAAATCAATATTACCCACAACCAGAGAAACACATATGAGAAAAAAGGGTAAAGGATTTTGTATTTTCATTCTTTCAAATAACAGATTCTCATTAACTTCAAGTTGATCAGGGACAGTTTCTTAGAAAGCTACAACATAATACAACTGCAATGAATACCCAGCTAAACCTCCCATTCTTGCTACTTGGACTGTGTGATGTTTCCACTCTTATTCCCATCTCACCACCTGGCTTACCACACAATAGGAAGTGGAGGTATAAACCAAGTATCTGAAGAAGTCTTCAAGCAGCCCACAGAGAACAGTGTGGGCCTACATTCTTATAGGGGAATATGCCGCTGGTAGGGTGGGAGTGGAATTGTTTAGGAAAAGATAATTTTAAAAAAACAGACTATTGTACACTTTATCAACTACAGAAGGAACCAAAAAGTCATTCATAAATACCTGTTCCTCAAATCTTTGTATTCTTGTTACAGAGAGGAAGAGGGCAATGCTGAAAGGACATATATCACTACCGAAATCTCCTTGCTGTCCTGCCTAGAACAGATAAATCAAAAAGGAGTCATAACTTACATCTGAAAAGTATAACATATCCTATAAAAACAAGTCCTTAGATGGATCAGAAACCTAAATATAAGAGCTAAAACTATAAAACTTTTAAAAGGAAACACAGTAGGAAATCTTCAAGACTTTGGATTAAAGATTTCTTAGATACAATAACAAAAACATAATTTATATAAGAAAAAAACTGATAAATTGGATCTCATTAAAAATCAAAACTTTTGTGCTTCAAAAGACACCATTAAGAAAATGAAACAAGCCACAGACTGAAAAAAATATTTGCTAATTACATACATGATAAAGGACTTGTACCCATGATATACAAAGCATTCTTAAAACTCTTTAAGTCACAATCAAAAAATGGGCAAAAGATCTGAAAAGACATTTCATCAAAGATATCAGAACAACTAAATAAGCACATGAAAAGATGTTTGGTTATCATCAGTCACTAAGGAATTGCAAAGTAAAACCTCTATGAGATACTGTTTCACAGCTATTAGAATAGGTATATTAAAAAAAAAAAAAAAAAGACAGTAACAAATGTTGGCCAGGATGTGGATAAACAGGAGCCCTCATACAGTGCTGACGGATATGTAAAATGATGTAGCCACTTTGGAGAACAATTTGGTAGTTTCTTTAAATTATAAACATATGGGACTTCCCCAGTGGTCCAGTGATTAAGACTCCGTGCTTCCACTGCAGGGGGCGCAGGTTCGATCCCTGGTCAGGGAACTAAGATCCCACATGCCACACGGCATGGCCAAGAAAAAAAGAAAAACACTTTATATATATATATATATATATATATATATATATATATATATATATATATAAGAGAGAGAGAGAGAGAGAGATAAATGTATTACATAACCCAGAAATTCCACTTGTAGGTATCTACCCAAGAGAAATGAAAACATATGTCCACACAAAGACATGCATGTGAATGTTCACAACAGCATTATTCATAATAGCCAAAAAGTAAAAACTCAAATGTCCATCAACTGGTGAACAGCTAAACAATGGATATGTCTATACAATGGAATACTATTTAACAATAAAAAGGGATGAAATACTTGTAAGTGCTACAACATGGATAAACCTCGAAAATTATGCTAAATGAAAGAAGCCATACACAAAAGATTACATATTGTATGATTCTATTTATATGAAATCAGGAAAGGTAAATCTATAGAAACAGGCATGAAGAATCTTACAAGGTGATGAAAATGTTCTAAAACTGAATTATGATGATGGTTGCACAATTAGGTAAACTTATGAAAAATCAATGAATTACACACTTAAAATGGGTGTATTTTTTTTTTCTTTTTTTTTTGGCTGTGTTGGGTCTTCGTTGCTGTGCGTGGGCTTTCTCTAGTTGCAGTGAGCGGGGGCTACTCTTTGTTGCGGTGCGTGGGCTTCTCATCGTCCTGGCTTCTCTTGTTGTGCAGCACGGGCTCTAAGCGCGCAGGCTTCAGTAGTTGTGGCACGTGGGCTCAGCAGTTGTGGCTTGCAGGCTCTAGAGCTCAGGCTCAGTAGTTGTGGCGCACGGGCTTAGTTGCTCCACGGCATGTGGGATCTTCCTGGGCCAGGGCTTGAACCCATGTCCCTTGCATTGGCAGGCAGATTCTTAACCACTGTGCCACCAGGGAAGCCCCAAATGGGTGTATTTTATGTTATGTAAATTGTACCTCAATAAAGCTTAAAAAATAGATCTTTAAGCCCTGAAAGAAATGACAAGAAACAAAAGAAAAAAAGGAATACAGCTTCCCTGGTGGAGCAGTGGTTAACAATCCTCCTGCCAATGCAGGGGACACAGGTTTGATCCCTGGCCCAGGAAGATTCCACATGCTGCAGAGCAACTAAGCCCGTGCATCACAACTACTGAGTCTGCGTGCCACAAATACTGAAGCTCGCACGCCTAGAGCCTGTGCTCCGCAGCAAGAGAAGCCACAACAATGGGAAGCCCATGCACTGCTATGAAGAGTAGCCCTGGCTCGCCGACTAGAGAAAGGCTGTGCACAGCAATGAAGACCCAACACAGCCAAAAATAAAAACAAATAAATTAATCAATTAAAAAAAAGAAAAAAAGGAATAAATATAAAATCAAAGATGAATAAAACAGAAAACCAACAAACAAATATAAAACAGTCGATAAAGCTGGTTCTTTGAAAAGATCAATAATATAGTTACTGTAAACCTAAATAAAAAGAAGAGTGAACAGATACAGAGACGACAAAGGAGCTTTAAAGGCTAGTTCCCACATCATGGTCTTTAAATATCCTTTCCTACAAAAGGGACCCAAGGCTCCTTAGAGAAATCAGGATGGGGTACGGAAAGTACAAGTGTGTCTTGGATAGCTTATGCCACAGAAGTGCTCAAAGACTAATGGGGCCATGTTAGAAGGACACATAAGCCTACCTCAAGGATCCAATTAGCCAAATATGGGTCACTTTGGGTACTGCATACGAGCAGATTGAATTTTAAAAGGTTCATTGGCTGCATAACAATATCCAAAAAAATGGGAGGTGGCTCTTTTCACAGAAGAAAACCAGCTAATAATGTAGAAGAAATGACAGAATTAAAATTTTCTAATCTTAATTCTACCATTTTGCAACTCTGAGTATAATTAGTGATTTAGGCCAAGAATCATCAGTAGACGGGAAAACAAAATCCACTGTGTGAAAGGTTGCTGAGGAAAAGAATTTCCGCATGCCTCGAATTATGATCCCATGGATTACTTTCTAATTACAAAAGGAAACATATACCTTTGCAAATGAAGAAAACTGATGGTCATTGTCTTGATCAAATGATTTGGCTAAGACTGCCTGATACTATGAGCCTTCTGACATAATGCAATAGAATAGTGGTTGGCAAACTACAGCCTCTGGGACAAATCTAGCCCATCACCTATTCTTGTACAGCCCATGAGCTAAGACTGATTTTCACTTTTTTAATTGTTGAGGGGAAAAAAAAAAAAAAATAAAAGGAAGAATAATATTCTGTGACACACGAAAATTAAATAAAATTCAAATTGCAGTGCCCATGTAGTTTCATTGGCACACAGCCACAGTCATTCATTTATGTGTTGTTTCTGGCTGCGTTCTTGCTACAACAGTAGGGCCGAGTAGCACTGACAGAGACCGTATCACCTGCACAGCCTAAAATAGTTAGTGTCTGTCCCTTTAGAGAAAGTTTGCTGACCTCAACAAGAGAAAGTATACAACACCACATACGACATATTCTTGCCAAAAATGTTTAACTTGAATCTAATCATGAGGAAAAAGACAAATCTGACAATGAGAGACACAAGAAAACTGGGCTGGATGCTTCAAAAAACTCAATGAAAAGGTATCAATCCTTATTCTTAGAAGACATCTGTGATAGTATTCAGGCATTGAAGGGTCATGATTTCTTCTTTTAAATGGTTCAGAAAAAAATCTATACTTGTGAGAAAGTGAGATAAGGTAAATGTAGCAAAATACTTAAAAAGAGTTCAAAACATTTCTAATTTTTATCTTACTACTTCACAAATATTTAATGATGAATGACTTAGCTTCACAAAACCCCACAATATATTACTAGAAATAGGCAATTTCCCCAATTCACAAATACGGAAACAGAGGTCAAGACTGAAGCTCATAGAATAATGGAGTTAAGGTTAAATTTTGAGTTTCCTGCTGAACAGTCTTCACCCTTTTTTTTCTTTTTAAACACTAAAACACTTAAGGTATGGTTTTAAAACAGAACTTGCTTAAGAATGTAGTGATATCACATATCTTCCACTTTCAAAGTAAAAAAAAAGAGATCCTCTAGACCCAGGGTAGTTCTACAATATTTCTATGTATTTGTTTCCTGTCATTAACCAGCATAAGAGAGGCCTGAGTTCAAACATCCCTGTTTCATAAAGAGATCCTGGATCTCCTTAAGAGTGTGGGGCTACCTTCAGGAGTTTCAGTAGTTCTCTGCCTAGTTCACAGTCCAACTTGATGGCAAACACAATGTGTAGAATAATGGTGCCTTCCACGTGACGAAGTTCACCTGATGGTACAGTAACAAAATCCAACAGCCTAAAAGATTCAACAGAACGGTATGAGCTATAGTTTGGGAAAGAGACAACAGTGCATATGCTCTTATGAACAAACAGAAAAACTCAAGCTGAACTAATATGATCACTGGAGGCAGGCACAAAGTACAAAATCTACTGTCTCATTCTCTGATCCTTTTTACAAAACTTCTTGAAAGAACTGTCTATAGTCATTATTTCCACTTCTTTACCTCTTCCCAGTTCAATTCAATTCAATTAGGCTTCTGTCCCCTCCCTAACCTCCCTTCCAATGCTATTTGTAGCCCTTGCAAGAATAATCAAATGACCTCTACACTGTCAAAACCAATAACCAAATTTCATCTTAATTAAAGCCTCAGCAGATTTGACACAGTTGACCCCTTCTTTCTTGAAACATTTTCTTCTCTTAGCTTCTGAGGCATTGTCACTGGCCTCTTAATTATTTGTGCTGGCTCATCCTCCCTTTAAATGGTGAATGCCTCTGAGCTCAGTCTTGGGTTTCTTTCTCTTCTCTTCACGATTTCCCTAGGTGACCCTATCCAGTCTGAAGGCTTTAGTCCTTTCCAATCTGTATCTCCTGTCCTGACCTCTAAAACCCCAGACTGCCTGCTCAACACCTCCATATGGGATACTAATATACATCTCAAACTTACATGGTCAAAACTGAGCTTATTTCCCCCTAAACTTGCTTTTTGTCAGTCTTTCCTAACTCAGTATACAAGACCACCTTCTAATCAATTGCTCAAGCCAAATAACTAAAAGTTATTCCAGATTAGAAGCAGTAGGCTGAAACAGGATTAAAAGCACGAACTCTGCAGCCAAACTGCTTGAATTCAAATCCCAGGTCCACCAATTTATCGCTACATAACCCTTGGAAATTCCTTAATTTCTCTGTGCCTTGGTTTCTATATGCATAAAACAGAGGCAAAAGAGAGTTGCTGTAAGGTTTAAAGTGCTTAGAACATCACCTGGCACAGAACAAGCACTCTGTTAAGTATCTGTTTCAAAAAACATCCTCTTTTTCAGTCACATCATGCTGTGTCCTGCCTTTGCACTAACTGTTCCACCAACTGAGAATGTGCTTTTTCCTGATCTATATATTGTGGCTCTTATCATTTAGGCTTCAGTTAAAATAACACCTTCTCAGAGAAGTTTTCCCTAACCACTCAACCTAAAGTAGCTATGCTGTCACTGTCACATCATCCATTTGAAATATATGCATAACACTTTTCACTCTAATATTTTTGTTATTTATTTATTTTCTTTTCTCTTCTCGTTGAAATATCTCCATGAGAGCAGGAACCTTGTCTGACTGGTTCATCACTGTAGTCCTAGGGCCAAATAGTTTCCGGCACAAAGTAAACACTTAAATAGCTTTTAAGCTTGCAACTTACAGAATAATTATTGCTGTTTTCCTGGAAAGATTAAAATGAAAGCGTTGAAGAGACTGCATTATTCTTTTAATTTTATTACTGAGCAGCTAAGGGGACTAGGGAAATTCTGTGAAGTGAAGGTATGGACTGAACAGTTAGATAACAATAAGATGAATTTGGAAAAATGATTTTATTTCTATACTGTGATACTCACTCATCACCACTCTGTTCCTCACTGTGCTGCGTATCTAGCCTGTTGAAGAAAGCTATGATTCCTTCCAAAACCTTCTTCCGGCTTCCCTGAAAAAAATACAAAATAAATAAGGTCTCTCCATAAAGGGCAAGTTGAACTTAAAGTTCTTTTCAGCTTGAAGGATTTTCAAGTATGAATTGAAATAAATTATAACCTAGAGTCACACTAAGAATTTATAGAACACTTTCATGTTGAAATTGAGTTTGAAATACATCTTAATATCAGATTTTAAGGGGCCTATAGTCCACCCTTTCTGAAATCTTTATCCCTTTTACTACCACACACACACAAAATGTGGTACTACAAGAGATAATGTATGTTTACGTTGGCTGAGGACCATGACCTTTTTACTAGATCAAATCATCATACATGAAATAAAAGCATCTATGCCCTAGTATATAAAACAAGAGTATGAATAAGCTGAATGGTACTAACTGGTCATTTCACCAGAGTTAAAAAAAAGCAAATTTTTCATTTATACCTTTGAGGAGAGAACCAGAAGCTGATAGACCAAGGGTGGTATTTCTTGAAGATTCAATTTGGAGAACATCGTCAACACTTTTTCCACCACAGTTTCCACCTCTTCTGCAGTCAGAGGGACATCCCTGTGGATCAAAGATTCTAAAGATCAGAGCCTAATTTGGGAGATATTAGAATACTATAACTACCTCTTTTGATTTTTCTCTAATGCAGAACCTTAAAGGGGACCAATAACCTTACCTAAGCAAAGTTATCTTGGGAAAAAAAATCATAAAGTTATACTTAAAATAAGAAATCAAAGTAAAAAAGAGTGGGGGTAAATTCTGTAACAGAAAACAGATGTACCGATACTCTTATTTAGGGAACAGTGGTATTTGACCTTGCTACATTTCAGTTTCTAGTAGGTAAGTTCTCATAGCAGGATATAAAAAGAAAAGGGAATGATGATGCTTACTTGAACATGGAGGTGAGTTGGATTACATATTGATGATCCCATCTGATTAAAGAAATTGACAAAGGAAGTTTATGTCATTTAAACTTATTTACATATTACTTTGTAAAATTAGTAAGGAGGAAAAAATTAGGGCCATTTCAAGTTTGATTTGGTACCACTGGGAAACAAGATCAAAGAAATGACATTTAAAACAATGAAATAACAGCTTTTAACCTATCAGACTGGCAAAATCAAACTCTGATGATATTCAGTGCTGGTGAGATTTTGGGAAACAAGTACTTAACATACCGTTTTAGGGGATGTACACTGATATAATCCTTCTGGGAAGACAAGTTGGCAATACTACTTATCAACTTTAAAAATGCACATAACCAAAGACCCACCCAACTTACTATTAGAAATATATCCCATGTACATGCTTATAAAAGGTCACCTAGACATATAAGGATGTTAATTCCAACACTTTTTATAATAGCAAAAAACCAAATATTATTTATCGGCAAAAAACAAATAATCTAACAATTGGACACTAGCCAAATATTATAACAGAATACTATGGAACTATTAAAAAGAATGATGTAAAGTGGTATATGCTGACATGAACAGATGTGTTAAATGAAAAATCAAAGGTATATTACAATGTAATGAATAAACTCTTTTGTGTAATTAAAAACAAATAAATGGATAAATATACGTGTGCTGATTCATTCCTAAAATTATTTCTGTAAGGGACTTCCCTGGTGGCGCAGAGGTTAGGAATCCGCCCGCCAATGCAGGGGACATGGGTTCGAGCCCTGGTCCAGGAAGATCCCACATGCTGCAGAGCAACTAAGCCCGTGTGCCACAACTCCTGAGCCTGTGCTCTAGAGCCTGCGAGCCACAACTACTGAAGCCTGCGTGCCTAGAGCCCTTGCTCCGCAACAAGAGAAGCCACCGCAATGAGAAGCCCGCACACCGCAACAAAGAGTAGCCCCTGCTCACCACAACTAGAGAAAGCCCACACACAGCAACGAAGACCCAATGTAGCCAAAAATAATTAATTAAAAAAATATATATATATTAAGGATTTCTTACTAGTAAGAATTTTTCATCTTTGATGTCTTTATATACTTCATTTTTAATGGCTATAAGTTACATGGAATGGATCTACCTTAACTTATTGATGCATAGCTTACATACCATAACTTACATATCTCCATTATTGTATGCTTAAGTTGGTCACAAATTTCTGTGTTGAAATGTTCATGTATGAAGATTTTCTTATATGTTGCAATTTCTCCTTAGGGTAGATTCTCATATTTCTGGTTTAAAGATACAACATCACTTATACATCTCACTCCCTCAAAAAAATATAAAAGATAGTGGTAGGGTGACTTTCCAGCCTTAAGGACCTTGGGACTCCAAATACTGCTATAGGGATAAACTGCTGTGTTAAGATGGAGAGTCAAGTAAATAGAAACTATATGTATAGTCTTAGAACAGAGAATACAGTAAATAATCTCTCTCAAAAATTCATCACAGACTAAATGGTTTTATAGTGGTAGACCATAAACCAAAATGGACTAAAAACTTGAGTGGTATAAATTCCTAAAATAAATGATAATTCTTTTTTTGGTCACTTGTAGTCCTGCGAAAGTTCTACACATTAATAAGAAAGACTCACCTGCCAGAACAGAGGGTGTTAATCAACTGCTTCTTACATTCTTCCCCACTTAGTTCACCTAGAAATGCAAAATACACTGAGGAATAAATTTAATTCAGTGAAGACAGTAAAAGCCACTAAGATTGGAAGAAAATTACCTTTTCCATAAGCTAGATTTTCCTTTTTGGTAGCAAGGGCAGTGAAAATGATGGGTAATAGCTCCAAAGATTTTCCATTCGTTAGGTTGCCCTGTTTGACAGCATCAACAAACTCACTGGCTAATTCAACCAATAATGCTCCTGGAAAATTGTGAACCTAAAAGTTGATGGGATTAAGAAAATGTTAAGCAGAAATCTAAATGTTTGATATCTCTGTCTAAGAAATACTCTTTTGCTGAATTAATAGAACTGGCATTGAAACCTAGAACTGGTCCTATAAGTGATTCAGGGAATCATTCTGCTCTGGTATAAACATAATTGTAAAGGATTTCATAGATCAGGATCTTCCACCAGTTCCCTGATGTTTTCAAATACGCCAACTCTTCAAAGAGATACATGTCCATGATACCAGAAATGTAACGTAAACATCTAAATGGTTTATGGCTCTTCCATCAACTATTTTGTTTTATAACAGTAGTTCTTATTCATAAACAGGAGCTATGGTAGGTTTGGCACACTTAAGTTTTCCCTCCCTCAACAAACTACAAACCCCCCAAAATCCACCCAAAACCAAAAAAGTTTTTGTTTTCCATCTCACCTCCAGCATTAGTAATCCTATGATTTCAGATGCTACTTCTTTCTGCAAATCCCCTGATTCCAACAATTGGACACAACAACTGTATATCTTAAGTCTCCTAAGAGCTCCAGCTTCTTCAGAACACGGGAAACCTTATTGTTTTAAACAGGTGGTACAGAAACAAAGAAAGAAAAAAGGCAGAATTCTTACAAGGTTGAAGGGTAAACAGGAAAAACAAACAGCTTTGTAGTTGAATATAGAAACAGAATTATCAAACTGCTTATTACTATGGTGTCTAGAACAGCAATATTTAGGAGCTTTGAAAAAGTATTTAATTTAGACAGAAAACTGAAACATTACCTTTTCTACTTCCACCCATGTCATTAATTTTTTAAATAATTTTATAGTGCAGAAGAAGGAACACCTTCTAATATACTTTAGAGCTTTTCTGGGATCCAGTAACCCAAATTAAGTGCCTTTAACATACTTCACTTCAAAACATCATCACTGATTGATGTCAGCAGGAATGTAGAGTAATAAAGACCTTGGAAAATGCTGTCCTCCATAAAAGCAACTAGAACACTAACAAAAATAGTGAAAACCAACTTGTTCAGGATTCTGGAAATTAACCAGACTTGCAACAATCCAGGGAGAGTTTATTTAAGATAAACAGCTGAATCTAAGTGAGAATAGCAAGCTCTGTTGTGTTTCAACATGCCCTCATTCCACCTCCTAACCCCTACCCCCCACCAGTCCAGTAGTCTTTAAAACCAACAGTTCACACTCACGGTACAAGCCACCAGTCTAGCAGCCTCTGGAGGGGACAGAATATGATTGGAGTTCCACCAAAGCCCAATTCCCAGATAACTGTCATTATTTGACCTGTCTGGCTATTCCTTAGAAATTTTCACTCTCAAGACTTGTCTTTACTTGACCTGACTTAGAACTCGCCCAGTGCAATCTTTTACCAGGGGCATTTGTCTAAACCAGTTGCAAGTGATTACTTTTTCAGCTGCCTGGATAGCAATAACAGTTGGGCATGCAACAAGCTGACCAAAGAACGTAAAATATAAGCCTGGAGAAAGGTGCAGAGGGGACTCTGAAACATTCTGACATATTCCTAGGAACCTAGGAAGCCATGAAAATACTTAGGGTTGTGCACATGGGAAGGGCTGTGTGTATGGCCAGGCAACACCCAAGAGGACCCTAATCTCTCACCTCTGGATGATCCTGAGGCTCTACACAAGCAGAAGGGCTAAGGAGGAGTTATAAGCTACCTGCCTGAGAACTGAAGGTGTGCATCTGACATGCACAGGGTCCCTCAGCAAAGGCTGGGAAACTCACTGGTTCCAGGCATTTTAAAGGAAATCCTTGCCAAATCATTAGCTGACCACAAAGCTAACCAAACAGAGACTTCAGGGGCCACGTAGAACAGTGCCCATACACAACAAACAATACATATTTCACAAAATTAGTTCAGAAGAACAACTATAAAAACAAAAGCAACACCACAACAGCAACAACAGATCTGGGGGAGGGGGATGGTATCTGATTTCCAGAATTCCCACAAAATATCATCTAAAATGTCCAGTTTTCAGGAACAAAAAAATAAAAAACATACAGGGAAACAAGAGCATGGTCCATACACAGGAAAAAAAGGAATCAATAGAAACCGTCCCTGAGAGCGCCCAGATATTAGATTTACTAGACAAAGACTGAAATCAGCTATTTTAAATATGTTCAAAGAACAAAAGGAAACCATGTCTAAAGAACTAAAGGAAAATATAAGAATGATGTCTCACCAAATAGAGAATATCAATAAAGAGACAGAAATTATAAAAAAGAACCAAACAAAAATTCTGGAATTAAAAAGTACAATAATTGAACTGAAGAATCCACTAGAGGGGCTCAACAGGAGATCTGATATGGCAGAAAAAAGAATCAGAGAACTTGAAGATAGAGCAATTGAGATTATCCAGTCTCAGGGACAGAAAGAAAAAGAAAAATGATCAGAGCTTCAGAGACCTGCGGGATCCCGTCATGAATACCAACATGGACATACTGAAAGTCCCAGAAGGAAAGGAAAGAGAGAAAGGAGAAAAAAGAAGTAATGGCCAAAAACTTCCCAATTTTAATGAGAACACTAATTTACACATTCAGTGAATTCCCTGGCAGTCCAGAGGTTAGGACTCCGTGCTTTCACTGCCGAGGGCCCAGGTTCAATCCCTGGTCGGGAAACTAATATCCCACAAGCTGCACAGTGCAGCCAAAAAAACAAAGCAAACAAACAAAACCCACATTCAAGAAGCTCAAAGAACTCCAAATAGGATAAACCCAAGAGATCCACATTTAGACATACCATAGCAAACTATCAAAATCAAAGATGCCTCATCATAAAAAAAACCATATGTGAAAAACCCACACTTAACATCATACTCAATAAGTGAAGATTGAAAACTTTTCCATAAGATAGGAAAAATACAAGGATGCCCACTTTTTAACACTTCTATTCAACATAATACTGGAAGTTCTAGATAGAGCAATTATTGCATTTAGTGCCACTGAACTGTACAGTTAAATAAAAAGGTTAAAGACAAGAAGAGAATATTGAAAGCAACAAGAGACAAGCAACTCATCTGGTAAAAGGAGTACTCAATACGATTAACAGCTGATTTCTCATTTTAAAAAATCATTGAAGGGCAGAAGGAAATGGGATAACATAGTCAAAGTACTGAAAGAACTCAACAGCCAGAAAAACTATCCCTCCAAAACTGTCAACCAAGAACTCTATAGCCAGAAAAACTATCCCTCCAAAATGGAGAAATTAAGACATTCCCAGATAAACAAAAGAGAATTTGCTGCCAGAAGACCTGCCCTAATGCTAAAGGGAGTCTTTCAGGCTGGAATGAAAGGACACCAGACAGAATTTGAATCCACATGAAATAGAGAACATCAGTAAAGGTAACTACATAGGAAAATATGAAAGACAGTATAAATGTACTTTGTAATTATTTTCTCTCCTATCTGATTTATAAGACACCTGCATAAAACAACAATTATAAATCTGCACTGGTGGGAATAAATGTGTAAAGCTGTAATTTATAGGACAATAATAGCACAGAGGAGGAAGGGGGAGAATTGAAGCTACATGTAGAGCAAAGTTTTATAACTATTAAATCTAAGCTGGTATTAATCTGAACTAGATTGTTATAAATTAACTCATTATTGCCCAGGGGAATTTTTGCAGAAACTAATGCATGTGGCTGGTGATTTTTATTTTGGCCGGCCAAAAAATTAATTCTTTTATTTCACTAACCCTTTGTGGGTTATTACATTCAATAGTTAGACCTGACACACCTGTAAAGTCTTCTAATTTTTGTAAAATGTTGTCTTCAAGCCACTCTTCTATAGAAGCAAAGGAGCATTCTCCTGCACCATGAATTTCATTTTCACTTTCTGTATCAGAATCAATCACTAAGGTTTTTTGTCTCTTTGTTGGTCTAATACATCGTCTGAATCAGAATTATATTCTGAAGAACTATCATCTTCTGAGACACTAGTATATATGTCACTTGGACAATCATAGAAAGTATCTGCATAAAATTCACCAAAAAATTTTTCACTCAAAATTTCATGATGTGTCACTTTTGAAAATTTTACATTTATAATATACACAAGATTGAAGCAAAAACCAAACGGAGCAAAATGTGAATGATAATGACAATCATAAGTTGTATAATGAACCCTTGATCAATTTTAAGCTCTAACAACTTCTCATGGTGATGTTAACTGTAGCACTCTCTAAAAATGTATTGATATGTCTCCGGTCAATAATGTGTTAAGATGTCAGTTCTAATCGCCAAGGCAAGCACTAAGAAAGTAACTGAAAAAATTAGTGAAAAAGATTACAAAGGAATTAAAATGGTACACTAGAAAACACCTACTTAACATATAACACACAAGGTATTAACAGAGGAACAAAAAGACACGACGTAAAGAAAACAAACAGCAAAACAGCAGATATCAATCCTACTTTTTTAGCAATTATGGTAAATGTAAAGGGATTAGATACTCCAATCAAAAGGCAAAGATTGGGACTTCTCTGGTGGAGCAGTGGTTAAGAAGCTGCTTGCCAGTGCAGGAGACATGGGTTCAATCCCTGGTCTGGGAAGATCCCACATGCCGCAGAGCAACTAAGCCCACAAGCCACAACTACTGAAGCCCGTGCGCCTAAGGCCCACGCTCCGCAACAAGAGAAGCCACCACAATGAGAAACGCGCGCAAAACGAAGAGTAGCCCCTGCTCACTGCAACTAGAGAAAGCCTGCGCACAGCAACTAAGACCCAACGCAGCCAAAAATAAATAAAATAAATAGATTTATTTTAAAAAAGGGCAAAGATTGGCAGAACAGATTTTTAAAAATCCAATTATGTGCTGTCAATCAGAGACACAATTTAGATTCAAAGATACAAATTGTTTAGAAAAGACATACCATGAAAACAGTAACCAAAGAGGGCTGAAGTAGCTCTAAAAATAACAGAAAAAAGTAGACTTTAAGACAAAAATTACTATTAAAGACAAAAAAGGCATTTTATAATGATAAAAGAATCAAGGCATAACAATTATAAACATATAAGCACCTAACAAAAGAGTTCCAAAATACACAAAGCAAAAACTAACAGAACTGAAGGGTGAAATAGACAATTCAACAATAGTTGGAGACTTCAACACGCCACTTCCAATAATCAACAGAACAATTAGAAGATCAACAAGGAAATAGACTTGAACACACCAGATCTAACAAACATCTATATAGAACACTACACACAACAGAAGACACATTCTTCACAAGTGCACATGGAGCATTCTCCAGGATAAACCACACATTAGGCCATAAAAAAATTCTCAATAAATTTAAAAGGATTATAATCATATCATTTATGTTCTGTGACCACAGTGGAATGAAACTAGAAATCAATACCAGAAGGAATCTGGAAAATTCACAAATATGTGGAAATTAACATAATCTTAAATACCACTGGGTCAAAGAAGAAAGCACAGAGAAATTAGAAAAATACCTTGAGATGAATGAAAACAAAAACACAATATTCCAAAAGCTATTGGATACAGCTAAAGTAGTGCTTAGAACGAA